CAGCAGCAGCAGCAGCAAGCAGCAGCAGCAGCAGCAGCAGGCAGCAGCAGCAGCAGCAGCAGCAGAAGCAGCAGCAGCAGCAGAGCAGCAAGCAGCAGCAGAAGCAGCCAGCAGCAGCACAGCAGCAGCAGCAGACAGCAGCAGCAGCAGCAGCAGCAGCAGAGCAGCAGCAGCAGCAGCAGCAGCAGCAGCAGCAGCAGCAGCAGCAGCAGCAGCAGCAGCAGCAGCAGCAGCAGCAGCAGCAGCAGCAGCAGCAGCAGCAGCAGCAGCAGCAGCAGCAGCAGCAGCAGCAGCAGCAGCAGCAGCAGCAGCAGCAGCAGCAGCAGCAGCAGCAGCAGCAGCAGCAGCAGCAGCAGCAGCAGCAGCAGCAGCAGCAGCAGCAGCAGCAGCAGCAGCAGCAGCAGCAGCAGCAGCAGCAGCAGCAGCAGCAGCAGCAGCAGCAGCAGCAGCAGCAGCAGCAGCAGCAGCAGCAGCAGCAGCAGCAGCAGCAGCAGCAGCAGCAGCAGCAGCAGCAGCAGCAGCAGCAGCAGCAGCAGCAGCAGCAGCAGCAGCAGCAGCAGCAGCAGCAGCAGCAGCAGCAGCAGCAGCAGCAGCAGCAGCAGCAGCAGCAGCAGCAGCAGCAGCAGCAGCAGCAGCAGCAGCAGCAGCAGCAGCAGCAGCAGCAGCAGCAGCAGCAGCAGCAGCAGCACAGCAGCAGGCAGCAGCAGCAGCAGCAGCAGCACAGGCAGCACAGCAGCAGCAGCAGCAGCAGCAGCAGCAAGCAGCAGCAGCAGCAGCAGCAGCAGCACATGCAGCAGCAGCGAGCAGCAGGCAGCAGCAGCAGCAGCAAGCAGCAGCAGCAGGCAGCAGCAGCAGCAGCAGCAGCAGCAGCAGCATCAGCAGCAGCAGCAGCTAGCAGCAGCAGCAGCAGGCAGCAGCAGCAGCAGCAGCAGCAGCAGCAGCAGCATGCAGCAGCAGCAGCAGCAGCATCAGCAGCAGCAGCAGCAGCAGCAGCAGCAGCAGCAGCAGCAGCAGCAGCAGCAGCAGCAGCAGCAGCAGCAGCAGCAGCAGCAGCAGCAGCAGCAGCAGCAGCAGCAGGCAGCAGCAGCAGCAGCAGCAGCAGCAGCAGCAGCAGCAGCAGGCACATCAGCAGCAGCAGCAGCAGCAGCAGTCAGCAGGCAGCAGCAGCAGCTAGCAGCAGCAGGCAGCAGCAGCAGCAGCAGCAGCAGCAGCAGCAGCAGCAGCAGCAGCAGCAGCAGCAGCAGCAGCAGCAGCAGCAGCAGCAGCAGCAGCAGCAGCAGCAGCAGCAGCAGCAGCAGCAGCAGCAGCAGCAGCAGCAGCAGCAGCAGCAGCAGCAGCAGCAGCAGCAGCAGCAGCAGCAGCAGCAGCAGCAGCAGCAGCAGCAGCAGCAGCAGCAGCAGCAGCAGCAGCAGCAGCAGCAGCAGCAGCAGCAGCAGCAGCAGCAGCAGCAGCAGCAGCAGCAGCAGCAGCAGCAGCAGCAGCAGCAGCAGCAGCAGCAGCAGCAGCAGCAGCAGCAGCAGCAGCAGCAGCAGCAGCAGCAGCAGCAGCAGCAGCAGCAGCAGCAGCAGCAGCAGCAGCAGCAGCAGCAGCAGCAGCAGCAGCAGCAGCAGCAGCAGCAGCAGCAGCAGCAGCAGCAGCAGCAGCAGCAGCAGCAGCAGCAGCAGCAGCAGCAGCAGCAGCAGCAGCAGCAGCAGCAGCAGCAGCAGCAGCAGCAGCAGCAGCAGCAGCAGCAGCAGCAGCAGCAGCAAGCAGCAGCAAGCAGCAGCAGCAGCAGCAGCAGCAGCAGCAGCAGCAGCAGCAGCAGCAGCAGCAGCAGCAGCAGCAGCAGCAGCAGCAGCAGCAGCAGCAAGCAGAGCAGCAGCAGCAGCAGCAGCAGCAGCAGCAGCAGCAGGCAGCAGCAGCAGCAGCAGCAGCAGCAGCAGCAGCAGCAGCAGCAGCAGCAGCAGCAAGCAGCAGAGCAGCAGCAGCAGCAGCAGCAGCAAGCAGCAGCAGCAGCAGCAGCAGCAGCAGCAGCAGCAGCAGCAGCAGCAGCAGCGCAGCAGCAGCGCGAGCAGCAGCAGCAGCAGCAGCAGCAGCAGCAGCAGCAGCAGCAGCAGCAGCAGCAGCAGCAGCAGCAGCAGCAGCGCAGCAGCAGCAGCAGCAGCAGCAGCAGCAGCAGCAGCAGCAGCAGCAGCAGCAGCAGCAGCAGCAGCAAGCAGCAGCAGCAGCAGCAGCAGCAGCAGCAGCAGCAGCAGCAGCAGCAGCAGCAGCAGCAGCAGCAGCAGCAGCAGCAGCAGCAGCAGCAGCAGCAGCAGCAGCAGCAGCAGCAGCAGCAGCAGCAGCAGCAGCAGCAGCAGCAGCAGCAGCAGCAGCAGCAGCAGCAGCAGCAGCAGCAGCAGCAGCAGCAGCAGCAGCAGCAGCAGCAGCAGCAGCAGCAGCAGCAGCAGCAGCAGCAAGCAGCAGCAGCAGCAGCAGCAGCAGCAGCAGCAGCAAGCAGCAGCAGCAGCAGCAGCAGCAGCAGCAGCAGCAGCAGCAGCAGCAGCAGCAGCAGCAGCAGCAGCAGCAGCAGCAGCAGCAGCAGCAGCAGCAGCAGCAGCAGCAGCAGCAGCAGCAGCAGCAGCAGCAGCAGCAGCAGCAGCAGAGCAGCAGCAGCAGCAGCAGCAGCAGCAGCAGCAGCAGCAGCAGCAGCAAGCAGCAGCAGCAGCAGCAGCAGCAGCAGCAGCAGCAGCAGCAGCGAGCAGCAGCAGCAGCAGCAGCAGCAGCAGCAGCAAGCAGCAGCAGCAGCAGCAGCAGCAAGCAGCAGCAGCAGCAGCAGCAGCAGCAGCAGCAGCAGCAGCAGCAGCAGCAAGCAGCAGCAGCAGCAGCAGCAGCAGCAGCAGCAGCAGCAGCAGCAGCAGCAGCAGCAGCAGCAGCAGCAGCAGCAGCAGCAGCAGCAGCAGCAGCAGCAGCAGCAGCAGCAGCAGCAGCAGCAGCAGCAGCAGCAGCAGCAGCAGCAGCAGCAGCAGCAGCAGCAGCAGCAGCAGCAGCAGCAGCAGCAGCAGCAGCAGCAGCAGCAGCAGCAGCAGCAGCAGCAGCAGCAGCAGCAGCAGCAGCAGCAGCAGCAGCAGCAGCAGCAGCAGCAGCAGCAGCAGCAGCAGCAGCAGCAGCAGCAGCAGCAGCAGCAGCAGCAGCAGCAGCAGCAGCAGCAGCAGCAGCAGCAGCAGCAGCAGCAGCAGCAGCAGCAGCAGCAGCAGCAGCAGCAGCAGCAGCAGCAGCAGCAGCAGCAGCAGCAGCAGCAGCAGCAGCAGCAGCAGCAGCAGCAGCAGCAGCAGCAGCAGCAGCAGCAGCAGCAGCAGCAGCAGCAGCAGCAGCAGCAGCAGCAGCAGCAGCAGCAGCAGCAGCAGCAGCAGCAGCAGCAGCAGCAGCAGCAGCAGCAGCAGCAGCAGCAGCAGCAGCAGCAGCAGCAGCAGCAGCAGCAGCAGCAGCAGCAGCAGCAGCAGCAGCAGCAGCAGCAGCAGCAGCAGCAGCAGCAGCAGCAGCAGCAGCAGCAGCAGCAGCAGCAGCAGCAGCAGCAGCAGCAGCAGCAGCAGCAGCAGCAGCAGCAGCAGCAGCAGCAGCAGCAGCAGCAGCAGCAGCAGCAGCAGCAGCAGCAGCAGCAGCAGCAGCAGCAGCAGCAGCAGCAGCAGCAGCAGCAGCAGCAGCAGCAGCAGCAGCAGCAGCAGCAGCAGCAGCAGCAGCAGCAGCAGCAGCAGCAGCAGCAGCAGCAGCAGCAGCAGCAGCAGCAGCAGCAGCAGCAGCAGCAGCAGCAGCAGCAGCAGCAGCAGCAGCAGCAGCAGCAGCAGCAGCAGCAGCAGCAGCAGCAGCAGCAGCAGCAGCAGCAGCAGCAGCAGCAGCAGCAGCAGCAGCAGCAGCAGCAGCAGCAGCAGCAGCAGCAGCAGCAGCAGCAGCAGCAGCAGCAGCAGCAGCAGCAGCAGCAGCAGCAGCAGCAGCAGCAGCAGCAGCAGCAGCAGCAGCAGCAGCAGCAGCAGCAGCAGCAGCAGCAGCAGCAGCAGCAGCAGCAGCAGCAGCAGCAGCAGCAGCAGCAGCAGCAGCAGCAGCAGCAGCAGCAGCAGCAGCAGCAGCAGCAGCAGCAGCAGCAGCAGCAGCAGCAGCAGCAGCAGCAGCAGCAGCAGCAGCAGCAGCAGCAGCAGCAGCAGCAGCAGCAGCAGCAGCAGCAGCAGCAGCAGCAGCAGCAGCAGCAGCAGCAGCAGCAGCAGCAGCAGCAGCAGCAGCAGCAGCAGCAGCAGCAGCAGCAGCAGCAGCAGTCATGCTCTCCAAAAAAATGATACCCTATGCGTACTCTAAACTGAACAACTATCTAAATGTCTCAAAAGAGTACACTGATAGGTATGATGATGATACCGGGGCAAAGATGGCCCGCATAACTTGAATAACCGCCAGCCGCATTTGACAAGCTTCTTCTCTACTCCTTGCCATCTGTGGAAGGGCACACCAGCACGGTCAGCCATTACCTCTCCTCTACTCCATCCAGGTCACGCACCCACTTGCCAGTGAATCTCTCCTGTTTTTTCCAGCGTCAAAGTTGCTCATTGTGCACTGAACCATGATGTTGCAGGGTGTTTTTGAGAATTCTCAAAAACATCACGAGCCCACTTGCCAGTGAATCTCTCCTGTCTTTCCAGCGTCCCAAAGCTGGTCATTTTGCTCCGAACCATTCGGAACCGTTCCCACTTCAGCCGCTCTCTCCCCCTTGCTCCTCACGCTCCCACCAGCACCCACACACGCCAGCGCTGCTGCTGCCTTTCCAACGTCTCGAAGCTGGTCATTGTCCCCCGGACGCATTCCACCCAAGCCTCTCGTCCTCGCCTTGTATGAAACCCACCAGCACACGCACACTCGCCAGCGCTCTTTGAGTCGAGTCGAACGTCATTGTGCCCCAAACGCCTTCCACCTGAGCCTCTCCTCCTCGCCCTCTATGAAAGAAACCAGCACATGCACGCTCGCCAGCGCTGCTGCTGTCTCCTCTACCGTCTGAAAGCTGCTCAATGCGCCCCAAGCACCTTCCACCTGAGCCGCTCCTCCTCCTCTTCTATAAACGCCACCAGCACATGCACGCTCGCCAGCGCTGCTGCTGTCTCCTCTACCGTCTGAAAGCTGCTCAATGCGCCCCAAGCACCTTCCACCTGAGCCGCTCCTCCTCCTCTTCTATAAACGCCACCAGCACATGCACGCTCGCCAGCGCTGCTGCTGTCTCCTCTACCGTCTGAAAGCTGCTCAATGCGCCCCAAGCACCTTCCACCTGAGCCGCTCCTCCTCCTCTTCTATAAACGCCACCAGCACATGCACACTCGCCAGCGCTGCTGCCGTTTCCTCTGGCGCATCAAACGCAAACGCCACCCGGTCGCCCGTCTGCCGGTCTGTCACTGTAAACTGCTGCCCCCCTCGCACCCGGGACACCTCATACCGTGCATCTCCCGCATCTCCCCCAACCCCCTGCCCTCTTCCCCACACCTCTCCGCAATGCCGTCCCCCGCCTCCCTCACCACCCCCGCCACTGCTTGCCTCCTCCCACACTATCTCATACGCAAAAGGATCTGCTCCTTCCCCCGTTTCTCCGCCCCCTCCTCCCGCTTCCCACCCCTCCCCAGCCCCCACTCTCTCCCCACCCCCTCCTCTGCCTCCCCTCCTCCCACCTCTCCCTCTCCCTCTCCCTTTCCCTCGGCCGCTCCCCCGTCCCCCACCATACCCCTTCTGCTTCAGCCTATTCGCCTGGTGGTGGCCCAGCAACTGAATCGCCCCTGTGAAGGCTGCTTGCCGCTGTGCCTCGTCCAATCCCTCCCCTAGAACCACCGTCGTTTTCGTTGCAGTGAACACCACGGCTGCTTGCCTCCTTGCTGGCCGATAAGGCCTGTTTCTTCCCGCCTGCTCCTGCTGCTCCCCTCTGTCCCCTTCTCCCCCTATCACTTCTGCTCCACCTCCCCCTACCGCTCCCCCTCCCCCTACCGCTCCACCGTCGCCGTCATCTCTCCCCGTGGCATGCGTACTCACATTCCCCTCCCGTCTCCCCTCCGTATTCCTTGTGAATCCTTCTGCTCTTCTCCCCTCATCTTCCTTCATGATTCCCATTCCTCCTTGCTCCGTTACCCCATTTTCCCTCCTCCCATCTTCCCCTCTAATCCTAACACCCATCCCATCGTTTTTCCGTTCCCCCCTCACAGCTCCCCCCCTCGCCTTCCCCCTACCCTTCCCCCTTTGCCCCGCTTTCCCCCCCCAGCTCTTCCCTTCTCCTCCCCTCATCTTCGCCGTATCCCCTCCAGGCATAACAGCATGAGGGGTGGGGGAAGCAGGAGGAGCAGGGGAGGCAGAGGGAGGGGAGTGATGCGGAGAAGCAGGGGAGGGGGGCCGCGGAGAGAGGGAGGGGGAGGGGTGGGCGCGGATGGGGAGCGGGGGGGAGGGAGAGGAGGGAACCCAATGGAGGGAGGAGGAGGTAGGTGGAGGGAGGGGCGCATGTGAGGGGAACCGAGGGAGGGGGCAGGAGGGGGAGCGGTGGGAGCGGTGGGATGGGGCAGGGAGGGGTTTGGCAACAGGTGGCAATGGTGCTGCTGCTGGTGTTGGTGGTACTGGTGGTACTGGCACCATGGGTGGTTTGGTGGAATGATCTAGCACAGTCGTACTCTTGAAGGGGGATGATCCACTCCTCTCTCTCACCTGTACAGCCGTCTCACTGTCACTAGCACTCTCACTCCCACTCTCACTCCTGCTCTCACTCCCACTATCGCTCCTGCTCTCACTCCCACTATCACTCCTGCTCCCACTCCCACTCTCACTCCTGCTCCCACTCCCACTCTCACTCCTGCTCCCACTCCCACTCTCACTCCTGCTCTCACTCCCACTCTCACTCGCACTGCCACTCCCATTCTCACTACCACTCCCACCAGAACCAGCACTGTTCGAGTCCTCATTCGCCTCCCCTTTCTCCTCCCTCCCCACGTTCTCCTCCCCTCCATCTCCTTCCCTGCACCCATCCCTCTCCCTCTTCCGTACCTCAAATTTCCCCACCTGCCGAGGCACACCAGCGTTCTTAAAGCCTGCTTTCCTTTCTTCTCCAACAAGCCCAGTTCCCTTCCCTTGCGGACGCAAGCCCGTCTGTCTCTCTTTCACTGGATCAGTCCTCCCCACTTTCTGAGGCGTCTGAAATCGTGCCGCTTCAGAAACCACTTCAGCTGGATTCGACTTCCCGACCTGCTTTTGAGGATGCTTTAAAGACCTTTCAACAGGACTCGTCTTCCCCACCTGCTGAACCTCCGTTCGCCTCCTCTTCTTCGGAGTGGGGAAGCACTGGCCGTTTGTCTCATCATCCCATCGGAAGCTTGCGACAGAAGCGGACGGAGCAGCAGACGCAGAAGCATCAGGAGAATCAGAATCAGGAGCACCATCAGCACCAGCAGCATCAGCAGCGTTGGCAGCAAACGATGCAGCTTTAAACGCAGCAGCACTGGTAGCAGCAGGCCGGAAAGAGGAGCCGCTAGCAGCAGCAGCACCGGAATGGGAAGCATCGGCATCATGGCTTTGAGACTTCTCAAAAGCAGCAGCGCCAAACGTGGGAGCACTGGCCACAGAGGGAGCAGCAGAAACAGAGGGAGACAGAGATACCTGACTCCAAGGTACCCTGCTCTTGACCTGCTGAGCCCCCTTCATGCCAACCTTCCCCTTGCCCGGAACACCTGCACCCTTCTCCCCACCCCAGCTGCCATTGACCTTCCCTTTACCACCCTTGAATTTCTGTGCCGCTGTAGCAGCAGCACCACCACCAGTGCCAGCGGCACCAGCAGCGGCTGTAGCAGCAGCAGCTGTAGCGGCAGCGGCTGTAGCAGCAGCGGCTGTAGCAGCGGTGGTGGTGGTGGTGACGTGCATGAGCTCTTTAAGGCTGCGGCACCGCGGCCTCCTCCTGCTGCAGTCCGCTCCCACCAACCACTCGTCCTCCCACTCCCACTGCTCCGCCCGCTTGCCCTGCTCGTCCTGCTTCTCCTGCTTACACTGAATCTCCTGCTTGCACTGCTCATCTTGATTACTGCATTGCTGCGCCTCTTGCTTGCACACCACTGCCGGTTGCCATGCTTCTTCCTCCTTACTGCCTTCCTGTTGCCCCTCGTCCCTGTGCTCTCCCTGCTGCGCCTTGCCCCTATGCTCTGCCTCCCGCTCCTCGTCTCTACGCTCTCCCTGCTGCGCATTGTCCCGACGTCCTGCGTCCTGCCCGCCGTCCTTCTCATCCCTACGGTCTACCTGCTGCCCCTTGTCCTTGCATGTCGCTCCCTCCTCTTGCCCCTCAATCCAGGTACCGTGACCGTCACTGCTGGCACAGTCCGCACCATCACCACCACGGGCACCATCCGCACCATCAGCGCCACTTCTATCTGTGCCCTTTCTCTCCATGCGATTTCTCTCCACCCCACTGATATGCCTCTTCTCCGTCGGTCTATCAGCACCATTTAACACCACAGCCCCACCCGCACTGCCCACCTCTTTGCCATCTGAAACTGCCTGCTTCTTTGCTCGCTTGGCTGATGGCTGTGCTGCCGCCACGCGCTCTCCTCGCTTTCCGTTCCTCTTCTCACCGGGATCCGTTATCCTCTTGCTGCCTGCGTCGCCAGCACACTGCGCCACTTCTGCTTCTGCCTCTGCTTCTGAGTCTGCTCCTGTTTCTGCTGCTGCCACTCGCACTCCTCGCTTTCCCTTCCTCTCCTCACCAGACCCCTTTATCTTCATGCTGCCTGCATCGCCAGCACAGTGCGCCACTTCTGCTTCTGCCTCTGCTTCTGAGTCTGCTGCTGCTCTTGCCACTGCCGCCCCCGCTTCTGCTTCTGCAGCTTCTGTCTCTGCTGCTGCCGTGCCTGCTTCTGCTTCTGCTCCTGCTCCTGTTCCTCCTGCTGCTGCATCCGCGCCTTGTGCGTCCTCTGCTGCCCGTCCTTCTTCCGGCCCCACACACGTCACCCTGCCTCGCAGTTTCTCGATGCACACAGCACCAGCACAGCTGCCGTCCGCCTGCCTCTCCTCCCCCAATCTGCGTCCGTTATTTCCTTGCTCCTCGCCCTCGTCACTGCCGCACCTGCCCTCCTCTACCGCCTCCCCACCCGCCTCCCTCAACCGAGACAACGCGCCTTCAACCCCGCCTTTCCTGCCACCTCTCCTCGTTCTAGCTGTTTCCCTCCCATCCCCTGCTGCTGCCTGCCCTACTGCCTCTCCTATCCCTAATCTCCCTACCAGAACCCTTCCTGCTTCTGTTTCCCCTCTTGCTGCTGCCTCTCCTCCTGCTGCTGTCTGCCCTACTGCGTCCAGTGTGGAACACTCAAGAGGCAGCGACGTCGTAGCAGCAGCTACGTCCTTTGCTTCTCGCAGATGATGCGGCCGTGTCTCTGTGTGTCCCACATCCGTACGCAGCACTTCCCGTTCCTTGTTTACATAACTATTATTATTCTTGATATTAGTACTAGCATGCTTGATAGTTCTAACATTATCACACCCCATAGCAGCCTCCTCACTTCGCTCCCACCCCATAGTACTTACTGTCATCTGCCCCCGTTGCGGAACTCCTTTCCGCCATCGCCGCCCATGGACACCCGCGCGCGGTTGCCTGATCTCCGCGCGCTGGCGGAGAGCGGAGAGCCAGGGGGGTGAGGCAACCGCCGCACGGCCGAATGAGTCCGCCAGGAATGTGGCCGCACCCATAGCGTGACCACCATCGCTTCTAGTACTAGTACCAGCAGTGGTACTGGTGATGGTTGTCCCTGGCTCTGCGGCCAATCCTTTTCTTTCACAAGAGGCCGCATAATGAGAAGGTTCGATCACCACAACATCTTCAACATCTTCCAAGCATTCCTGATCCCACACGCTCCAGCCGCTCTGCTCCCTTTCCGCTGCGGGGTTGCTGCGGAACTCTGTGGTCAGATGGTGCTGCGGCGGGGCGCAAGGGGGAAGGTAAACTTCCGCTTGAAGGTCAAAGAGACAGCCGGCGGCGTCCGCAAGTGCCGCGGCCATGGGAGGCCATGCGGCGGTCACCGCCAACGTCGTTTCAGGCGTTGCGATAGCAGGAGTAGAAAACGGCTTGTCTGATTCGGACGGCCGCTGTGACTGCGGCGTCGCCGGATCATGAAGAGTCGAGTCCAATGACGTCATGGCCAGAACAGCGGTCCCCGTGAGTGGATTGTGAGCTTTGCTGCTACTAGTACTACTAGTACTAGTAGTAGCACTTGAAACTGATTAAATAGTACAGGACTGATCAGACGATCTAACAAAGCACCAATGTATTACTAGGTAAAGCACCGTTCGCAATTGACGGGCCCGTCATCATCCCTCTCTTAATACTCACAGGCAGTCCGACTGATGAGCACCCTAGCACTGGTACTATTACTATTACCACTAGTTGTAGGAATGGCAAAACTTGTTGGAAAGATCTCGTCCCTGTTGTCTTAGCCCGATGAAGGAGGATGAAGAGGGGAGTGAAGGTGGAAGGGAAGGAGGCGAATGGTGGAGAGGAGAACATGGACAAGCGCTCAAGGACGGACTGGTGGTGGTGGAGGTCACAGAGTCACACACAAGACTGTTCAAAGTTTGGCGCGACAGCGTCGGGATCATCGTGAAATCGGACGGTTTTGGTGAATTGCGATTGATGGATGCGAAGGGCGGAGGAGGTGGGGGTGGGGAGGAGGGAGGGCTGCCTTGCATTCCTCCTGACAATTGATCAGCCTGGCGGCACTGTAGATTCTTCCCGATTCGGGCAGTTAATTCCCTTGCGAAGGCCTTGGGTTTACCTTTTTTCCCCTTCTGAGTCCCCAAAATATAGCTGGATCACTTTGTTGCTCGGCTGGGGCTGGTCGCGCATAGAAAGAAACCCGTATATTATGTACAGTGTGTGATGGTAAAGTGTACTCCGGTATATATTTTTCCAGTCAATTGTAGGCCGAATCAGTTTGTAGAAACCAGGCGAAGTCGTGGTGTCGTGTCTTGGCAGTGGGTGGCTGGGCTGGCTCGCATTGCCGCGTTTCTGCCCGTACACCCGAAAGTTCATCCTAAACGATTTCGGCATTTTCTTAGTCAGCACGGCTACACCTATAACGCGTATTACTCACCAAATGATCCCCTTTTGCGTGCATAACCACAAGCTCTTCAGTCCGTGATTTCCGGATCTCTGATTCCAGCTTGCAGTCCCTTGCGTTTCATTCAAGATTCATGAATGTCCTAGGTGTTGTTCTCGCTAGGTGGCCCTAGGTCCCGCTGTGCTAGTATAATACATTTCGCTCCCAAGTACCTGTAATTTTTGCTCCCAGGTTTCACTTTTAGGGTTCGCCGCTACGTTTCTACCGGCATTCAGTCATGCGCCGAGAGCTTGCAAATGTTCCTCGTTCTAGCAGCACTCCGTTATCCCCACCCCTGCTGCGCCTGCTCTCGGCTCTCCGCGCCTGGCTGGCTGCGCCCGCTGCGCCGGATGCCGCGGGAGCCGGGCCTCCGCGGCCGGCTTCCTCCGCGGAGCCGGTAGCTCCGCCAGCGGCGGCGGGGCAGGGGGAGCCCGTGGGGCGGGGCTGCGCCAGGAGGGCTGCGCGCGTGCGCGTGGTGAGGGCTGCGGAGGCCGTGAGTGAGGGGATGCTGGTGGAGGGCGCACGGGGAGGGGGAGGCGCTGACGGGAAGGGGAATTGGACTGAGGCTGAGGAGAATGTGACTAATGCGAAGGGGAACGCATTTAATGGTGCCGATGCAGAAGCAGGGGACGGGCTGATATGGCAGGTGCTGTGCGGCAGTGATGCGCCTCGGCTGATGGTCCAAGCCATGGCTGCTGCGAGGTATGGTGGGAGGTGCAATGGAAGGGGCATAGGGAAGGGGACAGATCTTGTTGTGCGGTGCTGTAGGTTGGATTAAGGTGCTGTATGGTTCCGTAAGGTGTTTTAAGGTGCTGTTGGATCTTATTGCAACAGGTGCGTCCGTTCCCTTCCGTTGCTTTATCTCCCCCCCCCCCCCCCCAGCAGGTGCGAGTGCGCATGCTGCCATGCAGCGGTAGCAGCGGCCATGGCGTCACTGGCGTCGCTGCTCTTCCTGCTGCTCCCCCACCACGCCCTCACTGCCTTCTTCCCTGCCCCCGCCCCTGCCCCCACTGCAGGTAAGCACCCACCACGTGAGGTCGCTTTCCCAGAATCCAGAGGTGTTAGATCCTTGTGCGTGGCTGTTTTATCTGCACAACTGCGGCTTGTCCGTGGCCGAGCGGTGGAGCAACATGTCACAAAAGAGCCTTGTGTGTCACTTTTCTCACAGAATCTCCGTGTGTGTGTGTGGCCTCCTTGTCGCATGCCATTGTTGCTCTCCAGATGAGGCTAGGCCGTCAGATGATCCACCAGTGGCAGCGACAGCAGCACCACCAGCACCAGCAGAAGCAGCAGCAGCAGCAGCACCGCCAGCAACATGCATGGGCAGTACTTTTTGCACCGAGAAGCAGTGCTACCAGCCATGTTTGCTGGCATGCCTCTGTTCCCTGCTGCACTCGCCTCCCTCCCCCTCCCCTTCCTCCCCCTCCCCTTCCTCCCCCTCTTCCTCGCTCTCCTCCGCCACCACCACTGCAGCAGCGCGCTGCATCGCTGACGTGGCGTCATCGCCTCTCGGCGCCCACCTGGCCCGTCAACACACCGCTGTGCATGCGCTGCTCTCTTCCCTGTGCGTCCTGCTATCTGTCGCTCCCGTGCTCCTGTGGCCCCATGAGTTTTCATTCCAGTTGCCCCTGTGCCGCCATGCCCCTGTGCCGCCATGCCCCTGTGCCCCGCTGCATCCCGCTGTGTTCCCTCACAAAAGCCTGTCGTGTGTTGTGACGTGTTGTGTTGTGTGTGTGGCCAGTAGTACGTGCCTTGTTCGGCTTGCCTTGTTCTGTGCTCTTCCTCTCTCTCACTCCCCCTCTGTCCTCCCTCTCTCTCCCACTCTGTCCCCCCTCTCTCCCCAACCTTGTACTGCAATCTGGTGTGTGCTGGATGGCATGGGCGCACACTCACAGAGCGTCATGGCAGAGAGATGATGGGACGGAGGCAGAAGGGAGACGAAGAGAAAGGAGTGGGGAATGTGGGGAGGCGGAGAGGGAGGAGGAAGAGGAAGAGGAGGAGGAGGAGGAGGAGGAGGAGGAGGAGGAGGAGGAGGAGGAGGAGGAGGAGGAGGAGGAGGAGGAAGGGGAGGAGGAGAGGAGTGTAGAGCATCTGACACAGGAGCACTTGCACACACATGTGGATGCGTTATGGTCGCTGCTCTTCCTGCCTCACTCACAACCTACACATTCCCAAACCCATCCTCACACCCTCCCTCACTCTCACCCTTCCTCTCTCGCATCCAACCCATCTCTCACTTACTCGTCCCCTCATCACCTCCCCACTCTGCCAACCTCCCCCCTCCCCCCCAAATCTCCTCATCACCTCTCCTCTCTGCCGCCCTCCCCCTTACTCGCGTCAGCCCTGGGCGTGCTCCGCCGGGAATATTCCCGCATTCACAGAAAGGACAATCTGCGCCACCCGCAGCAGTCTCAGCTGGATGGCAAGCGGTGTCATCTAGCGGCTGTGATGGCCTGGGTGGGGATGTCGCTCGCTGTAAAAGCAAGGGAGGGGGGGCAAGCAGAGGCAGCAGGGGTGGAGAAGGCGAGGAGAGGGTTTGAGGAGACGAGAGGGGGGAACGGAGAGGCAGCAGGGGTGGTGGAGGCGAGGAGAGGGTTTGAGGAGACGAGAGGGGGGAACGGAGAGGCAGCAGAGAGTGGAGTGCCGAAGGAAACAAGGGATGTGCCTGAAACGAGTGTGAGTGCAGAAGCATGTGGCAGGGGAGTGAATGTGCCTGACGCGAGTGTCTCTGAAGCGAGTGTGGGTGCAGAAGCAAGCCACAGGCGAGCAGAGCAGCTGCTGGGCATGACAGCAGGTTCATGGCCTGTATTCCTGTCCACTGTGTGGACAGCAGAGAGAGGGGGGATGGAGGCGAGCGGAGTGGGGGACGGAGCATGCAGCAGGCGAGCGGAGCAGCTGCTGGGCATGACAGCAGGTTCATGGCCTGTATTCCTGTCCACTGTGTGGACAGCAGAGAGAGGGGGGATGGAGGCGAGCGGAGTGGGGGACGGAGCATGCAGCAGGCGAGCGGAGCAGCTGCTGGGCATGACAGCAGGTTCATGGCCTGTATTCCTGTCCACCGTATGGGAGAAGCGCCCCTTCCTCTTCAGAGAACGTGGGAGAAGAAGAGAGGTAGCAAATCGTTTGCTTCTTGAGGAAAATCAGTCTCTCGTACCAAAGGAAGGCCCTTGCCGTCTCTTAAACCATCACTTTGTGAGGCGCATAGAAAGTAGCCGACTTTCTCTAACAGAGCAGGGCCCTTCCCTGGCTGCTCTGATCCGCGCCATTCCACACCTTGGGACTGCGGATGGGCTCCTGGATTTTTTTCTGCCCGGGGCAGCGCACTGCCCCAGAATGAGCGCGGGCGAAGCCGACCCGTTCGCTGCTCTGAGGGACATGGCAGTGGCCGGCGAGCTTGGGCGGCCTCTCTTGTCCTCACCTGACGTGTCCTTTGTCCACTCACAGCCCTCTGGCATGGGGGGGACTGCCCCTCATTTCCATGCTCCTCAAGAAAACACTTCAGCAGCAGCAGAGGGGGGAGCAGCAATAGCAGAAGGGGAAGCAGCAGCAGAGGGACGAGCGTGCAAGCGCAGGCGTGTCACTGAAACCACCCTGCCAGATTCACCCCTCCCATCCTCAATCTCCCCGGCGTCAACACTCCAGCACACTGTACCAACCCTTCCAACCTCACCAAACCGGCCACCAACCATCCCAACTCCGCAACCAACCCTCCCAAGCCACCCAACCCAGCCATCATCGAACCTCTTCCGTGCAGCCTCCTCCCAGGGCAGCACCATCGCCCTCCGCAGCGTCAACTCCCGCTCGCCTGCTGTAGCCACCCTTGCACACGCCACAGCCACACCCCTCACCCCGCCAACCTTACCACCATCAAACACCTTCTGTGCAGCCTTCTCCCAGGGCAGCACCATCGCCCTCCGCAGCATCAACTGCCGCTCGCCTGCCGTGGCGTCCCTCGCACATGCCATGGCTGCCGCCCTCTCCCTGCCAGCTGTCGGGGTCAACCTGTACCTCACGCCGGGCGGTGGGCGGCAGGGCTTGTCTCGACACTGGGACGACCACTGTGTGCTGGTGTGCCAGGTGGGTGGGTGGCTTGTTTGAGTGGGCGGGTTAGTGAGTGGGTGAGTGGGTGGATGAGTGGGTGCAACTTTTGAGGAGCCTCAAAAGACACTGGGACGACCACTGCGTGCTGGTGTGCCAGGTGGGTGGGAGAGTGGGTGGATGGTGGGTGAGTGAGTCAGGGGGTGGAGGGTGCGTGTGTGAGTAGGGGTAGGTTGTAGGACAGAAATCGTAAGCAACCAGTCACAGTGTGTTGCTGTACGCCCTCCCACTGTAGGTTTTTTGAGAAATCTCAAAAAACATGTTGCTGTACGCCCTCCCTCCCTGTGTGCATGTGGCAGGTGAGCGGGTGCAAGCGGTGGAGAGTGTTCCGCCCCACGCCAGGGAACGAGCTGACTTTTGAGTCGACTCAAAATCAGCCAGTCACAGTGTGTTGCTGTACGCCCTCCCACCTCTGTGTGCATGTGGCAGGTGAGCGGGTGCAAGCAGTGGAGAGTGTTCCGCCCCATGCCAGGGAACGAGCTGCCCCGCCTCTTCTCAGTGCCTGGCCTTGAATCTACCAGTGCTGCGCTTGAATCAGCCGGCACAGGTGCACGCTCAGCACGAAGAGAATCTGATTTCAATGCAGCGGTTGATGAATCTAGAGGGGGGAACGCTGTGGCAGAGCATGGCAGTGATGCGAGCGGCCAATGTCGAGTGCAGGAGGGAGAAAACCCAGGCCAGGAAGCTCATGAGAGCGTCGCAAAGCAATGTGCAATGCGTGAGGGAGAAAGAGAACCAGTCCAAGCAGGTGGCGCTGATGCTGGTGGGGAGGGGGCGCATTGTGAGGCGCCTCAAGACAAGCAGTGGGGGAAGGAGGGGGAGGAGGGGTGGGTTCCAATAGGGCAGCAGTTTGAACTGAGACCAGGAGATGTGCTGTATATCCCCAGAGGGTACCCCCATGAGGCTTGCACTCCCTGTGAGGCCGTCACTCCAGTCACTCCAGTCAGGTCACAGCAACCCCTTGGTCTACGACGATCACATGAGGAGCCCTCTGTACATCTCACCTTTGCTCTTGAAGTGGACGCTCCTTACACGTACGGCACGTTCTTGAGTCCTCTCTGTCTCCCTCCCTTTGCTCCTACGGCCTTCCTTTCTGAGACACGTGTTTCGTGATTCTCCGTTGTTGTATTGGTTTCCTTTATTTCTCTGTTCGCATAAAGCACTAAGTCTTGTTCAAGCCTTCCCTTGTCCATTCTTCCCATGCCCATTCTCTCCTCCACCATTCAGCTGGGAGGGTTTCTTCCATGCAGGGCTCCGATGCTGGTCACACTCCCTCCCTCCCTCCTCAACGCAAGCTTTTGAGGCGCCTCAAAATTCCTTCCATACCCATTCTTCCCACACCCCCTCCACCATTCAGCTGGGAGGGTTTCTTCCATGCAGGGCTCCGATGCTGGTCACACTCCCTCCCTCCCCACCGCAAGCTTCACCTTCTGAACCTCCCGGATTGCGAGGAGACAGCCCCAGAGCGTGACAAGGAAGGGGGATTCGCAGGCATGAGCACGTGAGATGTGACTGGGAGTGTCAATGCAAGTGGGAGTGCGAGTGCGAGTGCAAGCGAGGGTGGGTGTGAGGGTGTGGCATGGGAGGTGTGTGAGTCGCTGCTCCATGCCCAGTTGTGCCAGGCAGGAGACCGCTTCCCAGACCTGCGTGCCTCCTGCACTGCTGCCGTTCTGCACCCCTCCTCACCCACCGACTTGTGCTTGTCACCCAACGATGGGTCCTTCACACGTGTGCTTCACCTGCTGAAGCAGCCCCAGGTGTTCTCATGCCCCCTGCAGCCTCTTTCCGAGCTTCTTGAATCCATCAACCACAATGGAGACGAAGACCAGTGCGTCTCACAGGACGGTCATCAGCATGCTTCCGCCTTCCTTGCGTGTGCGTCGTGGTTGGCCCACCCCCCTCCCTCGCACGCTCACACTCGTTTCGACGTTCACAAGAACATCAGCAGCTACCAGCAGCGAGTTCACCAGCAGCAGCAGCAGCAGCAAAGGCATCAAATGCAGCAGCAAGGTCAGCAAGGCTTGGTAGGCTCGGAGCTACAGTGGCTCAGTCCAAGCGTCTATCACACACTCGCCCATGTTGCACGTGCTTTTCTCAAGGATGTGCACAGCTGGGTGGCTCTCGCCAGAGAGTACATTCAGTGCAAGTATGACTTACAGCGGGGCAACTATGAAGTCATGGAGGCTGCTCTTGCTACCCTGCAGGTGGATTGATTTCACGTCTTGACTTGAAGTGCTTTGTGGATGCTACGCACAGCTGGGTGCCTCTCGCCCGAGAGTACATTCAGTGCAAGTATGACTTACAGCGGTGCAACTATGAGGTCATGGAGGCTGCTCTTGCTACCCTGCAGGTGGATTGATATCACCCCACCCTAGACTACAAGTGATGGCAAATGCGGGCAGCTGGGTGCCTCTCGCTAGGGAGGACGTTTGGTTTGGTGCAAGTATGACTTACAGCGGTGCAATTATGAAGTCATAGAGGCTGTGCTTGCTACACTGCAGGTTGATTGATATCCTACAAGCGTTGGTGGGTGTACTAGCTTGAACAAGGAATGGCAGCTTGGGCAATGTACGGTATGGTACATAATACAATTATGCACTTATGCTGTGCAAGGGGATGCCATAAAAAATATGGTTCTAGTCATGTTGAAAGCTGATTAATCAGGTTTCAGCATCGGTTTTCCCCTTTTTGTTCTCCTTGCCACTCCCGTCTTCTGCCGCTGCTTTCGCTCGCCTCTGCCGCTTCCTTCTAGCAGCACGGGACTCCCGAACCGCCGACTGAGGGTCGGCCCGAACCTCAGGATGAGCTCTGGTGGCATCACTGTCACCACCACAACCGTTTGCCATATTGCTGTTTGTTTTACTTGCCACTTTAACTGTTGCATCCAGACTAATTGTTGCCGCATCTGCTGCTGCTGCTGCCACTGGTGCCGTTGTTGCCGCTGCTTCCACCACTACTACTGCTGCTACTGCTGACGCATTAGCTGCTGCTGTTGCCAGCATCGCTGCTGCTGCTGGTACTGCTGCTTCTGCTTCTGTCATTGCTGCTGCTCTGTCGGCATTTGCTGCCACATCAGCAGCACCTGCCATGTCAGCAGCACCTGCCACGTCAGCAGCACCTGTCACGTGGCGCTCAAAGAGTGCAACGAAGAATCCATCAGTGCCGTCAATGGCAGGATCTGTGCGCACCACTTGGTGCGCTGGAGGGATGGAGTGTAGGGAAGAAGAGGGGGAAAAGGGGGGGAGATATCTCAAAACCCAAAATTCTGAGACGTCTCAAACTTGAAGAATCCATCTGCGCCGTCAGTGGCAGGATCTGTGCGCACCACTTGGTGCGCTGGAGGGATGGGGCGGAGGGAAGAAGAGGGGGGGGAAAGGGGGGGAGATATCTCAAAACCCAAAATTTTGAGACCTCTCAAAACTTGAAGAATCCATCGGTGCCGTCGATGGCAGGATCTGTGCGCACGACTTGTTGCCCTGGAGGGATGGAGTGGGGGGAGTGTAATGGGGGAGAGGTTTCGTGGTTTGCATCTTAGGGGTTAAGGATCGAAAGGAGGGTAAAGCAGCAGGGAGAGGAAGGAAATGTATTGTCAATAGGCAGGTAGACCATGGGCGAGATAACTGAAGGTAGGGCGCATCATGGTAAGAAGCCAGCACAAGTTTGAGACTTAAGGAAGGCTACTTTGGAGAAATCCCAAAAGTAAGCCAGCAATGCGTCACAAAGCTGGGCGTAGGATAGTTTACCAAAGGGGTAGGACGGCAGCCCTCTCCTGGGCCAAGCAGGCAAGGCGGGGGCGAGGCGGAAGCCGTTCGCGAGAGCAGCAGGGAGCACTGCCGCTACCACTGCCGCATTCAGGCGATTCACAGGGGGGAAGCTCACCGAAAGGGTAGGAGGGCAGCCCTCTCCTGGGCCAGGCGGGCAAGGCGGAGGCGAGGCAAAAGCCACAGGAGAGAGCAACATGGAGCACTGCTGCAACCACTGACTCATTCAGGCGATTCACAGGGGCGTACTTTCTAAGGGGCGTACTCACCAAAAGGGTAGGAGGGCAGCCCTCTTCTGGGCCATTTAGGCAGGGCCGGGGCAAGACGGAAGCCGTTCGCGAGAGCTGCAGGGAGCACTGCCGCCACCACTGCCTCGTTCTCCCTCTCGTTGATGGAGCATGTGCTGTAGGTGACACGCTGTGCTGCTGGGACTGGGGGTAGAGAGCGGTACAGAGGGGTACAGAGGGGTGCAGAGGAGAAGATGGATGGGTTCAGAGGGGTACAGGGAGCAGCAGGGAGCACTGCTGCTACCACTGCCTCGTTCTCCCTCTCGTTGATGGAGCACGTGCTGTAGGTAACGCGCTCTGCTGCTGGGACTGGGGGAACAGAAGGGTACAGAGGGGTACAGGCGGGTGCAGAGGAGAAGATGATGGAGGGGTACAGAGAGCAGCAGGGAGCACTGCTGCAACCACTGACTCGTTCTCCCTCTCGTTGGTGGAGCATGTGCTGTAGGTGATGCGCTGTGCTGCTGGGACTGGCAGAGGGGTACAGAGGGGCGCAGAGGGGTGCCCAGGGGTACAGAGGGGTACAGAGTGGTACAGAGGAGAAGATGGATAGAAATTGCAGGAGTGGTTCAATCACTCTGCAGCAGGGAGCACCGCCGCCACCGCTGCCTCGTTCTCCCTCTCGTTGATGGAGCATGTGCTGTAGGTGATGCGCTGTGCTGCTGGGACTGGCAGAGGGGTACAGAGGGGCGCAGAGGGGTGCCCAGGGGTACAGAGGGGTACAGAGTGGTACAGAGGAGAAGATGGATAGAAATTGCAGGAGTGGTTCAATCACTCTGCAGCAGGGAGCACCGCCGCCACCGCTGCCTCGTTCTCCCTCTCGTTGATGGAGCATGTGCTGTAGGTGATGCGCTCTGCTGCTGGGACTGGGGGGAAGAGGGAGGGGTACAGAGGGGTGCAGAGGGATTGAGATTGCAGACACGTGTAAGAAGGTGAAACAGAAGGTGAAAGAGGAAGGAGGAATAGAAAGCACAGAAGCGTTGAGAGCCACAAGATTCAAGAAGAGAGGGATTTAAGGGGTTACAGCAAAGGTGGAGCAAGAGTGTAGCAAACAAGCGGTAGGGTAGGCACGCATGTCCTTCCTTGCACTTGCATGACATAAAACCCCTTTTGAATGGTGCAAGGGCGCATGCTAATTCTCAAAGCACGTACACGAGAGCGCATGCCTGAGCGCAGCTTCCTGGAAACGCGCCAATCTCTCCACCCGCTCGTCCTCCCCCTGACGTCCGCTGCTGCCCTCTTCCCCTTCAACCCCTCCATTCCCCTCCCCCTTGCCCCCCCTTCCCCCACCTCTTCCCCCATCTCTTCCCCCACCTCTCCCCCAACCTCTCCCCTCGCCTCTCCCCTCGCCTCTCCCCCCGCCTCTCCCCCTGCCTCTCCCGCCACTCTCCCCCCGCTTGCTCCCTCTCCCCGCACTGCTGTCGTGGGGTGAGGGGGATCCCTGAGAGAGTAGCAGGTCCCCTCGGGAGTGCCGAGTGCCTGAGCCAGAGCAAGAGGGGTCGAGCAGGATTGCCTGTACCTGCAAGAGGGTAGATGACGAAAGAAGGGGTGGGAAGAGGAGAGGGGACCTATAATGAGGGAGAGAAGGAGGGATCCCGCATGACTGCTTGCACCTCAAGGGGTGAGGGAGGGGTTTAGTTCAGAGTCGAATCAAAACTCGTCTCATTTCACAGGGACGTGTTGAGGGATAGGACACATGCTGAGGCAGAACGGGAAGGGCAAGCAAAGCAGCACAGCGCAGAGCAAAGGAGCTTTCTGCAGCCGAATCTGTGCTTTTAGAATCCTCAAAAAACAGCAGGGTGAGGAAGGGAAGGGAAGGGAAGGCACAGTGGGGCACACACAACACAGGGGCGAGGGTGCTCCTGAGTCGACTCAAGAACCCACCTGTTTAGATTCAACTCAAAACCCATCTCTTTTGATTCGACTTGAGGAGAGGAGAGGAGAGAAGGCGCGGGATGAGGAGAAGAGGGGGGGAGTTTTTAGTCGACTCAAGGAGAAAAGAGGGGAGGAGCTCACATCAGCGAATTCAGGAGAGGCAGGATCGATGGCGAGGAAATCCCCCTCGTGCACTTGAGCACCTGGAGAGGAGGGGAGGGTGGCGAGGGGAGCAAAAGGGGGAGAGACCAGGGAGAGGAGAGGAGCTCAATGTTATAACCTCATGATGAGGTGGGATCAATGGCGAGGAAATCCCCCTCGTGCACTTCAGCACCTGGAGAGGAGGGGAGGGTGGCGAGGGGAGAGAGAGGGGAGGGGAGAGAAGGGGCCATTTCACCCCAGCTCTGTCCAGATCAGATTCTTCCGCAGCAGAGCTGCTCTCTTCGCGTCCCTCTCGCTTGCGGTGAGCCGCCCTCTGTTTTCCATGAGTGCAGCCACGTGGGATGCCTTGTTGCCCGGCAATCACCACTTTACACCACCCCCTCAAGTACCCATCACCCCTCACATACTCACACGTCACCCCAGCCTTATCCAGATTCTTCCTCAAAAGAGTTGCTCTCTTCGCGTCCCTCTCGCACGCGGTGAGCCGCCCTGTGTTCTCCATGAGTGCAGCCACGTGGGACGTCTTGTTGCCCGGCGCTGCACATGCGTCCAAAACATGCCACCCGGGGCGAGGTGCGAGGATGAACGCCGGGAAGCAGCTGGCGCGGCCCTGAAGGAGAGCGGACAAAAAGAAGAGAGAGGGGGGGAGCAGAATTGAAGCGGAGGGTATGAGGGACATAGAGACATGAGGCGAGACAGAGGAGGACATGAGAGACAAGAGGCGACAAGGAGGCATTCAGGATGAGATGGGAGGCGTCCTGAATGCCTCCTTGGATGAACACTGGCTGGCTGGAAGGAGCCAGTATGAACACTGAATGCCTCCAAGTATGAACACTGGAAAGAGGCTGGCTGGCGCCACCCTTGCCACTTACGCCACGCACCCACCCACCCACCTGCAGAGCAGAATAAGCTCGCCTCTCTCTATCAGAGCATGCAGTTGCAGCTCCGTGCGCGCGGGAAAGAGTTGACTCAACTCAAGAGCATGAATGAGGGCATGGAACCGGCACCTGGAAAGAGTACAGTTGAGCCCTCTCCATTCAAACGCACCTGCAGAATGAGGTCGCCCCTCTCCACTAGAGGGTGTCGGTGCAGCGGGGAAACACAAGAACATCCGGAATCAGCTCATCTTGTTGGACAGAACCCCCACTGGACAGCTGGACTGAAACCTTCCCCTCCGCCCTCCCTCCTGCATTCCCTGCACTGATGTTAGCGTCACCGCTTCCACTTCCATCATCCCCACTTTTGCCGGCACCATTTGCCTCATTCGCCCCATCCGTGCCACTGCTCTCTTGGGCCGTGCCAGCCTGAAAGTGCGCCAGCACTGCTTGAGTGGTGGTGCGCAGGGTGTTCACTCGCACATAACGGGGGTCTGCGGTGGGGGGAGGGGGGGGGAGATGAACGTAAGGGTGTTGAGCAGGCACAAATACCGTGTGTGCGTGTGCGGAGGGTTTTCACTTGTGCATAACGGGGGTCTGGAGAAGACAGGAGGCACAAGGAGATGAAGGTGGGGTAGGCAGGAAGCTTTGGGACTCACGTGCAGCAACAGGCGGGTCACTGGAGGGCCCTAGCAGCTCCTCCACTGATGCTGCTCGCTGCTTCACCAGCAGCCGGGCAAGCGCCACTCTGAGAGGAGGTGATTGTTCACTTGACCAAAGAGGTGGCAGTGGGCAGGGAGGAGGCAATGGGACTCACGTGCAGCAACAGGTGGGTCATTGGAGGGACCAAGAAGCTCCTCCACTGATGCCGCTCGCTGCTTCACCAGCAGTCGGGCAAGCGCCGCTCTGAGAGCCGCCTTGTGTGAAAGTACTACTTTCTGCACCGCTCCTGACCCCAATGTACCCTGGGAGAGAAAGGGAGAATGGGATATGAGGCACCTTGAAGGGTTGCCGCTCGCTGCTTCACCAGCAGCCGAGCAAGTGCTGCTCTGAGAGCCGCCTTGTGTGACAGCACTACCTTCTGCACCGCCCCTGACCCCAATGTACCCTGGCAGGGAGGGGAAGGGAGAATGGACGTTTGAGGCGCCTTAGAAGTTAATGACTTGCCGCCTAACCAGCAGCCGGGCAAGCGCCGCAATGAGAGCCGCCTTGTGCGATCTACCTTCTCTTCTGCACCGCTCCTGACCCAATGTACTCTCGCAGGGGAAGGAAGGGCGAGTGGGAGGGATGGGAGTGTATTGGAATCACTTTTGCGGATCCTCTGAAGTGACTCCAGTAGTGCAGCACTGCTGCTTTCTCCCAAGATTCTGGGAGGGGAAGCAAAGTTGCAAGGAGTAAAATGTATGAGCACAGGTGTAGAAGAAACCTACCTAAGCAAAGACAAGGGGAAGGAGGCAGGGCTTTAAGTGCTCACCTTGCCTGACACCACCAGGTCGTACACGAGCACATACACCAGGTGGGGCTTTAAGGGCTCACCTTGCCTGACACCACCAGGTCGTACACTAGCACATACACCAGGTGGGGCTTTAAGGGCTCACCTTGCCTGACACCACCAGGTCGTACACGAGCACATACACCAGGTGGGGCTTTAAGGGCTCACCTTGCCTGACACCACCAGGTCGTACACGAGCACATACACCAGGTGGGGCTTTAAGGGCTCACCTTGCCTGACACCACCAGGTCGTACACGAGCACATACACCAGGTGGGGCTTTGCCTGCCGCACAGATTGGGGTGAGGGGGGGTGGAGAAAGGTACAAATGGATAATCAGCTGCTTCACTCGGAGTGGAAAGATGTGGGCTTTGCAAGTTTGGGAACACTGGGGTACACTGGGGCGGACTGGGGTACACTGGGGCGGACTGGGGTACACTGGGGCGGACTGGGGTACACTGGGGCGGACTGGGGTGCACTGGGGCGGACTGAGGTGCACTGGGGCGGACTGGGGTACACTGGGGCGGACTGGGGTGCACTGGGGCGGACTGAGGTGCACTGGGGCGGACTGGGGTGCACTGGGGCGGACTGGGGTGCACTGAGGTGCACTCGCCTCCGCTCCCTCCCCACACCCCAAACTCCCGCCCCACCTAGTCCATCCCTCCCCCTCAACCCCCCTCCCCCCCCTCTCCCCTCCTTCCCCTACCTTCATCCAGTTGCTGTTGGCGAGGCCAGTGGTGGCAATGAGATCCTGGATCACTGGTAGGTCTGATGGGCGGGATGGAGAGGGGTGAAGAGGGGCAGAGAGGGGTGGAGAGAGGCAGAGAGGGGTAGAGAGGGGCAGACAGAGGCAGTAAAGAGAATGTAGGGGTCGAGTGAGGCAGACAAAGGCTTGAAAGCACTAACCCCGGAACCCGCGGGTTTCAGGGTTCGGGGCTTAGAAGTTTGTGATGACGTGGCGTGGTTAGCGGAATGGAAAGATGGACGGTCGTGACATCTGCTATGGCGAGCACTAAGCGCTATATCCACCCCTCAGCAACCTTAAATCGCAGCGTCCCTTACACGCAATCCTTACATCGCACGGCCCCTAACATCGCAGCGCCCCTTACATCGCAGCGTCTCGCACGTGACGCCGTGCGTGGCGCGCTTCGCCACGTTTCCCTCCGCGAGAGTCAGCCCCTTCACCGCGCAACCCCCGCGCCTCGTCTCGTTCGCGCGCATTATGCGCTCCACCGCCGACGCCGCCTGCGCGTGCACCCTGCTCGAGTCCGCGTGGCCGGATCGCCCCCCACCCGTCTTTCCCTGCCGTATTCCAGAACTCGAATTTTCCTGTCGCCTGCCGGGACTTGGCATTCCCTGCTGCCTACCCGAACTTGGGTTTCCCTGTCGTTTGCCAGAACCTGAATTTTCTTGGGGTTTTGCACCTGCGCGCGGGCGAGGCCCCTCGGTGCCGCCAGGTTTTGCCATGGATTGCTTACTGGACGGAATGCGCTGCGAGAACTTTGTGCACTATCTTTCGTTTCGACTTGCACAAAATGGGACTGGCTGCTGTTCACAAGCTCAAGATGACTGGATGAGTGAGTGTAAACCCTCCGATTCCTGCTGGCAGGTTTGAGATGTTCAATTTGTGGAGGACTCGATATAGCGTGTCTCCTTTGATCTGTGAGTTGTGTAACTAGTACCTAAAACAGTCATGCCAGTATCAAATTAGGTAAATATTGTGTGTTTGTCAGTGACTTGAAGAATGCAATGAAATAATCTGAGTATGCACATTATGACAACCAGGGTGTGCGCACTGTTGCTCCACGAGTCATTAGTTTTCACGACTAAGACACCCTGGATGTCACCTGAAGCAAAACTGCACACAAATATCTTCACTTTTTTATAGTTCAGTTCAGTGTCATCCTATCCAGTTGGCCCTTGGTGTTGCCCTGAGTATGGCGATTGCCCCCCTTGCATGGGGACTCCGTATTGCTGCTGTGATGGCATTCCACCAGTCCCTTCCTGTGCACCTGTGCAAGAAAAGCATTTATCAGAAAGGGAAACAAAAGTTTTGTATCCGAATCTACATCATGCAGACACATTGATGACCGAAGGTTATAACGAGGGGCTACTGTATCTATCACAATATCTCACCTGGATTTGGTTGCGCCCCAGGGCCTCCTGCAAGGTGGCTGGCACCTCCCATCTGCTGCTGCTCGCCCGTCCCCTGAAAACCTTGGGATTGTCCTCCTTGCATCTGCTGGAACCCAAAAGGTTGCGCAGCAGCACCAACGCCCGCAACGCCAGCTGGTTGCGGGGCGGATGGAATCATAGAAGGGCCTCCTGGAAATCCCCCTGCTGCCTGCGCCGCTTGCGTCGGCCCGAACGCAGCAGGAGGATATCCAGGATACATGCCAGCGGGCGTGGCTGCCCCTACAGGCGGTACGAACATCCCCGGCTGCGCTGGAAATCCCTGAGGCCCGTACGGCGGAAACACTCCCTGAAGAAAACAGCAGAAGTTATGAGCCCAATAAGAGTGACTACCGTGGGATGACAAAAGAACGGAAAGGTTTTCGATGTTATGTACCTGTGGAAACGCGTAGCCGGCTCCTTCTTGAAACTGCTGTGGGTACCTGGAGGATGAATGAGAAAAATAAACACACAGATCGTGAGGCACAGAGTGAACGCGGCATCTAGAGATTTCACTAGCGAGATCTGGGGGGAGGATGAGCCCGAGGTAACATACCCGAAGGGAGACATGGGATAGCCTTGTAGCGGGTACATGGGATACGGGTGTTGGGGGGGATACCCGCCAAACGGCACTCCACCTGCTACCAAAAGTGCAGGCAATAAGTAGGAAAGCAGTTTAGCGTAAATGGGAGTAAAAAAACTAGAGCTTAGACTCTATCGGACGGCGGGAATCTTACCCTGTTGTCCTCGCGGTTGCTGCGGACGCTGCTTCTGTCCTAAAGAAGCGAGGTTGCAGTTGGCCCTTCTACCGTCTATGACTGGCGATGGGTCAAGACACGCTCTTCCTGCAGCCTCTGGGTCACTGAAAGTCACCTGAAACGGAAGCAGGCGAGTTATCCTACTGTCATGGAGTGAAACGAGTCAGGCTGATGCTTCCTAAAGCAGGAACTGGCGTACTGTGCACCTCTAAATTAGTACAGAAACTTGCTAAATAGACGCTTACAAATCCGTAGCCTTTGGAGCGGCCGGTCATACGATCCGTTATTACAACTGCTTCAAGAATCTCGCCGAACTGCTCGAAATACTTGCGCATGGTTTCCGTTTGAGTCTCCCACGCAAGGCCTCCCACGAAGACCTTGGTGAGCGTGGTGTCGCCGAACTGGCTAGAATGGCCGCCGTAGCGAGGATTCCCGGTGCCATGGTGAGCCATGAGGTAGCTAGCAGCGGCGCTCCGGCCCGGGATGGCCCACACGGCGGTCGCCGTGTTGACCAAGCCGCTATGCTACTCTACTAGCTCACTCTCCCAGCCTCCAGCGTGCCTTCAGACCCGGAACGCCATGCAACTACGGACAAAAAACTGGAGCAATGTTTCAGCTTCTGCACAGTACTACCAAGGCACAGGCCTTGAGTGCACCTTGCAGGCTGTCTTTATTTTGCCAAAAGTGGTGACCGTGTCAGAGATGCAGCTTTATGCCACTCTTTTTTCCCATGGCTCCATCCAAAGAAACCCAAGAGGCCTTGCTCTCTCGGGTTGGGGCGCACTCCCCTCAGGCACGCCACCCTGCTCGCTTCCGCAGCGGAATTGGAGATTGGAGAATCAGGGGGTGTGTCGGACCGCACCAGGAGGAGCGCGGTGCCCAATGCCGTAACGTCACCGAGAGCGGATGTGGAAGGTAGCCAATCGCCACATCGCTGCGACCAATAGGAGAGCACGTGAGAGATGTGGCGAATCCAGTCTTGGCTCAGATGAAGGAATGATCGTGTCCGTCCATCCCAGATGATGCTCGTAAGATGTGGGTATTAGGCCCGCCACTGAAAGGGGTTGATTTTGTGCATAAGCTTCTGAATAGGATTATGTGTCGAACAATCGCAGAACGGATTGTTCTAGACTTGTCATCAAACCAATCTCTTAGGCATGATTTATGAGGTGCGTATGTTTAATTTATTCTCATAGATTAAGGTTATATAACGGCTGACATAAGGTTTTATATATATCCGCCAACTAGATCGCGGTGTCGCGAACTGGTATTATAGAGATATATCAACTTTGCATGCAGGGTCTAGCCTTCATTCAACATTGCATGAAGGGGATGTTCCCATCCCCTTCATTTACTGTACTTCTAGCCTGCAGCTGTAATAGCACGTCCTTGTACAGGGTACCGCGCAAATGCACTCTGTTACACTGCAGCTTGGCATTTCGTTGTCCAATGTCGCAATGCAGTCTCATTTCGCACCGCTTTCTTTGCCCGCCCGCAGTATGCGCGATGTGATGGGGGTGAGGCCTCTTTCGCAAATTCCTCGAGGCGCTACAAAAGCTCTCCAGCCAATTTACAGTTTGCGATGGGCACAACAAGGACAGAGAGAATTTTGCTCAATCCCGCGGAATCGCTCTTCATTTTATTATCGCCACGTGGCCTGCCTATGATCGCGGGAACCGCGATCTGTTTTATTGTTCCCACACATGTCAATTTTTATTAGTTAAGTTTAGTGGGTTACATGTACTGCGCTGCCCGCGGGCAAACATAAAACCCATTCGGGCCTGGCATGCGTTAGTGAGGCATCAGCCCTAAACACCTAGAGGCAAGGTGTTAGGGGGCGTTTCTATCCCGTGTCAGACATCAAGTCATGCGGCCTTAGTCTCCAATTTGTCTCTTCCGAACTTCCAACCGCCCCAAAAACGAGCCACTTCGGGTCTTCCGAACCTCCACTTCGTGTCAAACCTAATGTCTGACACGGGATAAAAACGCACCCTTATGGTTTATGCATCCCTAACGCATGCCTTACCTATAGGGGTTTATTTTTGCCTGCGGGCAGCTCAGTACATGTGACCCACTCAACTTAACTATATTTCTCTTGAAAGTTGTGGGAACAATAAAACAGATCGCGGTTCCCGCGATCAAAGGCATGCCACGTGGCGAAAATAAAACGAAGCGCGATTCCGCGGAATTGAGCAAAACTCTCAAGGACAGACAACCAAAACAAGCGCCTCCGATCCTGACCGTCTCATCCGTCCGTAGCACTTCCATTCTGAACCGAGGGCCAAGTCCTTGGCAAACCAAAGTGCCTTCCCGTTATCACATGAAAACTCCCAAGCGCTGGCAATTCCGCTACGCACCTAAGTCAAAATCTAGCCATGTTCTACACTGTTCATCCGCCACGACGACACGACATGTCGCTGAACCGCCTAGTAGAGAGCTGGGCTGGCTGTCAAGCAAAAAAAGACGGCGGGCACTGTTCCTCACTCGAAATGGAAAGAGAAGCCCCACCCAACCACCACTGCCAATCCCAGTTGGACGCATTTGCGTCAGACGGCTCGTATCGAGTCGGAGACGTTCTTTGGGGAGCATAACAGCCCCTCCTTATCTCTTTGACGAAACCCAATGTAATCTCGTCGACCTACGTATGCGGCATATGAATAGGAAGTCACTAGACCAAACCCGAGACTCACAGACTGCCCGATGGTCATTCACCAGAAATCCAGTGCCTGGTGACCCGAGTTGCTTGGTAGCGTGCGGCGCAACTCTGTCGTAGTTGGTTGGCGAGCGTTTCGGACTTAACGCTACCGTTGCTGGCTGTCTTCCGATTTTAGAAGTGACTCGCAGCTTGACGAGCGATCCGGACTCCGGATGTGCGCTCTGGCTACTATCTTCCGATTTTAGAAGTCCTTTCAAGCTGTGACTCGCAGCTTGACGAGCGATTCGAGCTTAGTAATGTCTCGGAGACAGAACTCGCTTTTCGGAAAATTCCCCTCCGCGGGACCTGGTCCGCCAATGTCAGTCATCGCGCTGCTTCCGCGGCTTCCTTCCGCCCGCCGCACTTGCTCCCGCTTCCCCCCCATGCCTGCGTTCCTCCTCCCCCTTCTCGCGCTGCTCCTCGCGGCGCTGCCGCACTCTCTGTGCGCGGCGGAACGAGCGAACCGGCTGAAACCTGCTGCCACGCGCCTCATCCTCCTTCCCAGTAACGCTTACGGCGCGAAATGCCTCGACGGCAGGTGCGGGCAGCGGTGATTCACCATCACAACAGCATCGCAAAATCTCGTTCATAAACCCAGTCGCATAAAGCAGTCAATGTCAGAAGGTTCGTGGAACAATCGCTGGCCTTGAATCATGTTCGCTGGCCTTGAATCATGTTCGCGTCACATAGGCTTTACCATATGGAAGGTCATTTCTAGTGCGCCTCCCCACCTTCCTCCCACCCAGTCCCCCGGCGTACTACTTCCGCGCGGGGGCGGGCGCGGGGAGGCGCAAGTGGCACGTGCATCTCCCCACGGGCGGCTGGTGCTTCTCCGCGCGCGAGTGCCTCAATCGCACCAATTCCCCGCTAGGATCGTCGCGCTTCTGGGCTAGACGGCTCCCTGCAGTGGTTGAGAACGGTGGAAAGGTGCCGAATGTGAGTGCTGACTCACGCTTCCTCTCTCCCTTGCCCTCTCCTCCTCCCGCCCTCTCGCCCTGTTCTTTCGCGGCCGTCGCTCCTCCTCCGCCACTCCCCTCACTCCCTTGTGCTTCCGTTTTCCTCTTTATTCCTGCAATGCCCTCCACACCGCACCGCACCCTACCCTGCCTCAAAAGGCGATGTTTGAGGTGCAAACAAAAACCGTTCCATCACACCCCACCCCACCCCACTCCACCCCACCGCACCGTACCCTACCCTCTGTCACCAGGCTACGATCGCCTACCCTCAACTGGGCGGCTTGCTCTCCCGGAGCAGGAGAGCCAATCCCGTGTTCCACGCGTGGAACCTGGTGTGGGTGGTGTACTGTGATGGTGGCGCCTACAGCAGCACGCGGGGGAGGGCGGACCTGGGGGGGGGCGCATCTGTGTACATGAATGGGCGGGGGATCCTGGACGCGCTAATTTATGGTTCGCTGGGGGAGGGTGGCTGGTGGGAGGGAGGGGGAAGGGGGGGGATACTTAGGGGAGGGCGCATCTGTGTACATGCAGGGGCAGGGGATCCTGGACGCACTCGTTGATGGTCAGTTGGGGGAGGGTGGCTGGGGAGGGTGGCTGGGGGGAGGGTGGCTAGGGAGGGTGGCTGGGGGGAGGGTGGCTGGGGATGGTGGCTGGGGGGAGGGTGGCTGGGGAGGGTGGCTGCGGAAGGGAGAAGGATGCATTAGGGGGGACAGGAACGGGAAGGATGGAGAATGCGGAGGGTGGACTTGGGGGGTGGGCACATCACATCTGCGTATGGGGATTTGGGGAGGGAAGAGGGATAAGATTGCGGAGGGGATGGAAAGGGAGAGCACAGGTAGCACAGCAATGAATCTATCCGCGCTATAAATAGGCATGACCAATTAGCCCACCCATGGAATGCCATTGCACAGCTACCCACCTATCCACCCACACACCGCCATCCAACCTTCTCTCCTCCCATCTCTCGCCGCGTGGCAGATCTGCGCATGAAGCGGGGCATGGGGGCGGCGTCGCATGTCCTCTTCTCGGGCAGCTCAGCGGGCGGCCATGCCATCATCATGCACTGCGACCGCCTCGCTGCCGCCTTCCCCCGCGCCCAAGCCACCTGCCTCTCCGACTCCGGCTTCTTTGTTGGTGCGCATTCTCCCGTGCTAGATAGCATTGACTTTCTACTCTGAAGAGCAAGCGCAGCTGTTTGGTAGTGTCTCGCCGACTCGGGCTTCTTCGTTGGTCAGCAAGCGCAGCTGTTTGTGCTGCCCTGGCTGTGTTTGACTTCTGATTTGAAAGAAAACTCTTGGATGAGAAGATTTGGGCCTGCCAGGGTGACAGAACACTGCTACAGCCTTACGCTTGTGCCAAGGATGCTCTCGGTCCTCTTCTCCCTTTCACTCCTTTCTAATCCCTGGTTACTAGTCTCTGATGTACCGCTCATTCATTCCCCCTCCTGCCTGTCAGATGCTAAGGATCGCTTTGGACAGTATTATTGGCGAAATAAGATTCGGGCGCTCACCGCTCTGCACCGCATCAACGTCCCGAAATGCCCAGCAGGTGAAAGCAATGCATCAGGCAAGGCGGCTCTTGGGTGAAAATGGGACTACCAGGTGATTGCCGGGCGAAAACGAGAAATATCAGGTGTTTATTAGGTGTGAAGCTGGGTGCCATGCCAGGTGAATCATAAACCGACTTATGATGATTTTTAGTCGACTTGAGTCAACTCAGTAATCAACTTTGCCCCCTACTCCCCCCACCCTCTCCCCCCTTCCCCAACGGCCCCAACCCCCCAACCCCACAGGATCAAAAGTGAGGGACAACTGGGTCTGTTTCTTCCCAGAACACTCCCTTCCTCAGATCACCACTCCCCTCTTCCTCTTCCAGTTTCACTTCGACTCCCGCCTCATCTTCCACGAAAACCAGCTCCCAGAAAACAGCACCCAGTACGACACAAACTGCCTCACCATGCAGATTCTCCTGCCAAACGCCAGTGCCGTGGCGCGCAAGCGAGCGTGGGATGGGCTCAACTGGAATCCGAAATTTTGCCTGCCTCAGGAGGTCGACGCGGTATTTTCGATGGCGTCTTTGTCGTATAGGTCGTTGGCGGTAGCAGTGAGGAGAAAGAGGAATTTGGGTGTGATGCTGGCCCCGGGAATGGAGCACACGGCGCTGTTTTTTTGGAGCTGGTTCAGGACCTCTATTAGAGGGGCAAAGCTAAGCATAATATTTAATAGATGGCATGTTAGCAGTAGAAAAGGTATTTTTCTGCACGAGTAAGTGTACGATTCCTCTTAAGCTGAGTTCATGAACAGTATAACATGCAGATCAGAGAGCCATTATAGTGGTGTAAAGGTTATTTTGAGCGGAACATTGCAAAGACTCGCTCAGAGAAATGCGTTAAGGGTGACTATAATAGACAAAAGGTCCCATTTCCATTTGATACACAAACACTTCATAAAAGGTGAGTGATTTCAGGTTCATTCAAAAAATTTGAAGGTGTAGCTCTGTATAGAGTACTGGGCTCCGCCGCAAAATTCCCCCTTTTGCCATGGTTCGTCACCCAATAACGTGCGAAATATTATCGAACTACTTATACTCTGTTACAAAGCATTCCGCGTTTCGTTTTCCGATGTCGCAGTGCAGTCTCAGCTCGCAACGCCCTCTTTACCCGAGTACGGGCGATGCAATGCGAATTGAGGCTATTTCGCGAATTCCTCGAGGCGCCTCAGAAACTCACCACAGAAATTGCATCTTCGGCTAATTTGCAGTTTGTGACGGACAAGCAAGGTGTCCCCGGCCATCCCAGCCCAAGCCATCCCCCGTATCACGAATCGCGAGCGATCGCGAACCGAACTGTCGCATGTGTCCGCCCGTAGCACAAGACAAACAAGCCAGCAGCCCAGCCAAGCCCTTGGTTGGAATGGAAAACTGACCTGGCTTCGCGTTTTCACAAAGCACTGCCATGATCTTGCTCCACCACCACACCACATATCGCTCAACCGTCAGTAACGAGACGGCTCGCACTGCTTCCGTTCCGACTCAACAAGAAGAAAACAGGTTACAGGAGTCTCTCACTCACCTCAACCACCTCGTGGGCAGTCTCAGTCAGACGGATCTGGGCCAGCCGGCTCGTCTGGAGTCGGCAAACACAACTTTGCGGCGGCGAGCATGAAATTCAGCCCAATGGATTCCTCACCCACGTTTGATGCAGAAAAGGAAGTCGCAATACTTCTTTCAAATTGGAACGTCTCTCAACCTTCGATTTGTAGTACCTTGACTTTAATGCGTCTCGGAATAAGAACGCCATTCTCGGAAAATTCCCCGCCGCGGGAACGAATCCGCCAATGTCAGTCGTCGCGAGGCTCGCGCAGCTTGCTTCAGCTCGCGCTTGCTCGCGCTTCCACCCCTTCCGCGCGCTGCTCCTCCCCTTTCTCGCGCTGCTCCTCGCGGCGCCGCTCCTCTCCCTGTGCGCGGCGGAACGGCGGAACAAGCCAAAATCCGCTATTGGGACGCGCTTAGTCATCCTGCGGAACAACACGCACGGCGCGAAATGCCTAGACGGCAGGTGCGGCCGCCGGTGCCACACAATCAACTCGTTTGCATAGAATCATAGTCGCTCCCATCATGGAATCATTTCGATGATGCCAATCATTCTTAGCATTGACATGAAATCATGTCGATGCAATTCACGATGATTGGGCCTATCAAATACTTTGATAATCACAGAAATGAGCGTAGCAGGGCACGTCAATGCCGGAATAGTCCTTGCCGCGACTGGATTTCCCAGGGGAAAAGGGGAGCTGGGGCCTTGCGCGCTAAACCCCCAGATTCCCCCTCTTCCCTTGAAGGGCTTGCGCGCGCTTTGGTGTGATGCTCGTGTGTAGGCTATTTTCAGAATGCTGAGTCTATTTTCAGAATGCTGTCTCGGAAACCTTACAAGAGCTTTTATTTTTTCTCCCCCCTTTCCCCCTCCCCCTCCCCCACGTGCACTTTTCAAGTCAAGTGCGCTTCCACTTTCTCCCCCTTTTTCACCCACCTTCCTCTTTCCCCCTCCCCTTCTCCCCCACAAGCCCCCCCGCGTACTACTTCCGCGCGGGGGCGGGCGCGGGGAGGCGCAAGTGGCACGTGCATCTCCCCACGGGCGGCTGGTGCTTCACCCCGCAAGACTGCCTCGATCGCGCCAACTCCTTCCTCGGCTCGTCGCGCTTCTGGGCCAGACGCCTCCCCGCAGTCGTTGAAAACGGCGGAGCAGTGATGAATGTGAGTTTTCTCGCTCCCACACTTGCCCCCATTTCGTTTCTCTCGAGCCCTCTCTCATGCCTCTTTTCTCATGCCATACCTTCTGCTTCCTCGCTGCTCTTTGCGCCTTCCCTTCCCTCCACACCGCAACCCACCGTTCCCTGCCTCAAAAGGCAATTTCTGAGGCGCCTTGAGAAGACGTTTCATTACACCCCACCCAACCACACCCCACCCGACCCCACCCAACCGTACCCTACCCTTTCACCAGGCTCAAATTGCCTACCCTCAACTGGGGGGCTTGCTATCGCGGGGCAAGAGAAAGAACCCTTTGTTCCACGCGTGGAACCTGGTGTGGGTGGTGTAATGTGATGGTGGCGCCTACAGCAGCACGCGGGGGAGGGCGGACCTGGGGGAGGGCGCATCTGTGTACATGAATGGGCGGGCGATCCTGGACGCGCTTTTCGATGGTCGGCTGGGGGAGGGTGGCTGGGGGAGGGTGGCTGGCTGGGAAGGGAAAAGGATGTGCTAGGGGGGAAAGTGAATGGCTGAGGGAATGGATAAGGAGGGAATAGGGGGAACGGCGGACTCGGGAGGGAAGAGGGGGAATTTGGGGGTGGAAGGGAAGAAGCCAGGCAGGCGGCATGATAAGAACTCCATCCATGCTCTATCCACCCACACCACACACAGCCATCCAGCCATACCCCCTCCCCGTCCTCTCCCATCCACCACAACCCATACATGCTGCTGATTTTGAGACAGGATCACCTGCTGTTGTTCTGGCCCTTACGGTTCTGCTCTTTGCCCACCATTTCTGGCTCCTCCCTGTATGCCTCCCTCACGTTAGCTCTCCTCTCCGTCTCACCCCACAAAAGTTTTGGGCACACGGCGGGGCATGAAGGCGGCCTCCCAGATTCTCGTGTATTTGAAGTTGACTTCAAATGCTCCTTCTTCGTGCTCTCTTTTTCACCCCACCATACCAGATCTCCGCACGAAGCGGGGCATGGGGGCGGCGTCGCAAGTGCTCTTCTCGGGCAGCTCAGCGGGCGGCCATGCCATCATCATGCACTGCGACCGCCTCGCTGCCGCCTTCCCCCGCGCCAAAGCCACCTGCCTCGCCGATTCGGGCTTCTTTGTTGGTCAGTGCAGCGCTGCGTTTTGTTTTTTTGTTTTTTTGTGAGCGCTGTAATTGTTGCTAATTGCCCTCTATTGTCTGAACTGAATTGTGAGTTGGATTACTGTAGCCTTTGTAATGATTCGGGGACTTCACTTAAATCTCTTTTTTATTCCCCCTTCCCTCTGCTGCCGCCTGTCAGATGCTAAGGACCGCTTTGGACAGAACTATTGGCGAGAAAAGATTCAGGCGCTCACCGCTCTGCACCGCATCAACGTCCCGAACTGCCCAGCAGGTGAAAGCAATGCACCAGGCAATCCCCCAGGTGCAAATGGGACTATCCTGTTGTGGTTCTCAGGTGAAAACAGCACTACCATGTATGTCTCTGGTGTAGACGAAAATCATCGAATGATTCTATGATTTTCAAGACATTCTAGCTGGTTGCCATTATGAGCCTTCAGTGATGAATTTTGACTCTCATTATGATTTTTCAGTTGACTCAAAGTGACTTCTGAACTACTCATCATCACTACTCAGAAGTCATCCTACCTCCCTCCTCTCTTCCCCCCACCTTTCAGGAGCACAAGTGAGGGACAACTGGGTCTGCTTCTTCCCTGAGAACACCCTCCCTCAGGTCACCACGCCCCTCTTCCTCCTCCAGTTTCACTTCAACCGCCGCTTAATCAGCCAAGAAAATCAGCTGCCAGCAACCAAAAACCAGTACGTCACAGAATGTTTGAGCAAGCAGATTCTCCTCCTGCCAAACGCCAGTGCCGTGGCTCGGAAACACGCGTGGGGAGGACTAAATTGGAATCCGTCCGTCTGCTTGCCTCAAGAGGTTGACGCTGTATTCTCGATGGCGTCTTTCTTGTATACGTCGCTGGAGGAAGCAGCGCAGAGAAAAGGGAATTTGGGGGTGATGTTGGCGCCGGGAACGGGGCATACAGTGGTGTTCTATTGGAGCTGGTTCAGGGCTTATATTGGAAAGTCGAAACTGAACAAGATATTCAATAGATGGTTCGTTGCCAGAGATCAAGGGTTGTTCCTGCATGAATAGGGTAAAAGGTGTGCATAATTGTGCATACCGTAATTGTCCTTGTGTAAGGGACGACTGGGTCTGGTTCTTGAACAGTCCCTCCCTCTCAAAGTTAGCGAACAACGGAAAATGCATGAACTAGCAAAGTGTTGGATACAAATAGGAAACCCTAGCATCTATACCCTCTAGAATGCAACTCACTACAGCCTATAACTATTATATTTGACACACCCCCATAGGCTAAGTGAGGGGCATCAAAACAAGCAAGGCAGACAAACGGTCACAAGACCAGTCAAGACAAGAAGCAAGGCAAGCTCAGGGTGGATCTCAAGGACACCACACAAATTCCGAGCGCAAGCAAGCGACCACAAGGCCAGTTCAAGAGTTCACTAGGATATATATATGAAAACACAACAAGCAGAGCAAGCAACAAGACTACAGCAACCGAGGGCCTACCTCAACAAGCCCCAACTGCACACAAAACCTGTGGTGATCACCAAGCGCCAAGGCCTTGGTGAAGACGTCTGCAGTGTTGGCCTCTGAGGCCACAAAGTCCAGGTGTGCCTGGCCGCGTCGCTGCAGCTCTCGCAGGAGGAAGTACCTCACGTCAATATGTTTCACTCTGCTCTCCAGTCGAGGCTCTCGACACAGGAGGATCATGGCCTTGTTGTCAGCGTACAAGGTCGGTGCAGAGCGAGGCCGCTCACCAAGGTCGGCGAGCAAGAAGGTCAACCAGCGAAGCTCCTGTGCCGCCATGGCACCAGCGTAGATCTCTGCCTCTGCACTGGAAGTAGCCACAGACGACGACCGTGTAGACCTCCACGACACAACACCAGCTCCCAGACTGAAGCAGTAACCCTGAGTCGAGCGCTGAGTCTCCACGTCGTCAGCGTAGGAAGAGTCGCAGTGACCAGTCAACGCCACTGGCTGAGTCCCTCCAAGCACAAGCCCCATGCCTGATGTAGTCGCCAGGTACTTCGCCACCCTCACAGCAGCTGTCCAGTGGACAGGACGGTGTCTCCCAGTCGCAACAAAGCGAGAAAGTATGCTGAGGGGAAAGGCGAGGTCCGGCCGAGTACAAGTCATCAGGTACATGAGGCAGCCCACAAGCTCTGCGTAGGGACCACTGGACTCAAAGGTCTCGTCGGGAAAGGGGCCAGTGAGTCTGTGGTCAACAGCAAGAGGTGTGGGCTGTGTGGTGGAGAACTAGAAGTCGAACCGCCGAAGGACCTGCTGCACCATGTGTGACTGAGTTAGTGTGATGGTGCGAGCGGCTCTGTCCCTGGTGATCTGCAGGCCAAGGTAGCGCTGCAGTTCACCTAGGTCAGTGCACTTGTGTCTCTTCTGCAGTTCGGACTTCACCTGAGCCAGAGCTGCCCTGTCTGCTGTGGCAAAGACCAAGTCGTCGACGTACACTAGTATAAAGAAAGGAGTGGAACCAGTGCGAACAAATAGCGACGGGTCGGCAGAGGAAGGACAAAACCCAAGGTCACGAAGCGTGGAGCGAAGAGTGTCGTGCCACTCACGGGGCGACTGGCGGAGACCGTAGACTGGCCGTCTCAGGCTCCACTGGGTCCCATGTGGGAAGGTGTCAGTGAAGCCAGGAGGGCGGCGCAGCCAGATCTCCTCGTGTAGTCGGCCCTAGAGAAACGCAGTAGAGAAGTCAAGGGAGTGCAGCTCGTAGTCTCGCTGTGCTGCTACGTGCAGTAACACCCGAAGAGTAGTCATCTTCGGGGTCGGGGCGAAGGTCTGGAAGAAGTCAACTCCCTCACGCTGACTGAAACCTCTAGCCACGTAGCGCGCCTTGAACACAGGCGGTGAACCAGGCGGTCGCTTCACCTTGAAGAGCCACATGCCATCGACTACGTTCGCCCTGGGAGGGGGAACTGCGTCGACGTAGGTGCCTGTGGATCTCCAAGACGCTAACTCCGAGGCCATAGCCGCTTTCCACTGTGAGGCCCACGCCCCTGACACTGCCTCGCGGTAAGTAAGAGGAGTCGGTATGTCAAGGGCGTCGGGGTCTCCCTCAGGGGATAGCAGCATGGCACAGACAGAGGGAGAAGCAGCTGCCCAGTACTCCAGCTCAGACTCCTTGTCCTCTAGGACGTCACAGCCAATGGCAAACTCACCCCCAACGGACAGAGGACGGGAGGGAGGAGCTGGCACCACACGGGTGGTGTAGTCAAGGCGACTGGCGGCAGCAAACTCAGCGACAGCGGCAGTGAGAGCCGAGACAGACGACGGAGGGAAACGAGAGTCGGTGACAAGAGTGGCGAGGACACGAGAGACAACAGGACGAACAGCGCGGTAGTAGTCAGTGACAGGAGTAGGGGGGAAAGGGAGAGAGGACGGAGGCGGAGACAGGAGAACGGACTCAGGAGGAGGACGACGAAGAGACGAACAAAGGAGGGCAGTGCGGAAGTCGGTAACGGGAGACGAGTGACGAGCACGCGGAGGACAGGGACGGACACGAGAGTGTGGGACACGAGGTGGAGGAGACTGCGGTGGAGGAGAAGACCAGACCGCCGGACTGTCGTCAGGAGGAGGAAACGTGGGACCAAACGCTGGAGGGGACGGAGTGTGAACAGGAGGAGAGGAGGGAAGATCAAGGGCCCGAAGGCCACTCACGGGTGGGAACAACTGCCGCTCCAGAGGGAGCTGCAGTGGGCGCGGCTGCGGCGGCGGTGTCTGCTGCTGCTGCTGCTGCCGCTGCTGCTGCTGCTCCAACTGCTGCCGCTGCTGCTCCAGCAGGTCCAACTGCCGCAACTCCTGCCGCTCCCTCTCCAACAGCACCTGCTCCTCACGCTCATGCCGACGGGCCGCCTGGAGACGCGTGTCGTGGCGGTGGGGAGGCGGAGTGGACTTCGCAGAACCAGTGTCTCCAGCTCCAGTCTCCTCAGAACCAGCACCTCCAGTGCCAGCGCCTCCAGCACCAGCACCCCCAGAACCAGCACCCCCTGAACCAGCACCTCCCGTGCCAGCACCTCCAGCTCCAGCACCCCCAGAACTAGCACCGCCAGTGCCAGCACCTCCAGCTCCAGCACCCCCAGAGCTAGCGCCACCTGCGCCAGCACCCCCAGCTCCAGCACCCCTCGAACGAGCACCCCCAGACCGAGCACCGCCAGCGGCTGCACCTCCAGCTCCAACACCAACCGAGTCCACAGTAACCTGTCGCGGAAGTGCCGAAGGCTGCTGAGGAGACTGTGAGGAGGACTGCGGGGAGGGAGACGCTACCTGACGCGCGACCGAGGGCAGAGGGGTAGCGTGGGACACACCAGACGGGGCAGGACCAGGGGGGGGCGGGGGTACCGGAGGAGGGGGAGCAGGAGGAGGAGAGGGGGCGAGGAAAAGGGGGGGAGGGGGTACCGGGAGACCTCGACAGGGGTACCGGGTGTAGTAGGACACGGACTCGTCAAACCGGACGTCACGGGAGTCTAGGAACTGGTGGAGGGGAGGGTGGTAAAAGGACCAGTCGGCAGAGTCCACTGGGAAACCAAGGAAGACACAGGGGACGGCGCGAGCCGAGAGCTTGTCCGCGGAGGTGTCGCGAACAAGCGCAAGGCAGCCCCAGACACGAAAGGCCGACCCAACACCAGGGGACCCGGTCCAAAGACTGGTCGGTGAAGCCTCGGGCCATGAGACGCGCGGCTGGAGGTTCAGCTGGTGTGCGGCGTAGCGAAACGCGTAGGGCCACAGAAAACGGGGCGCACGGGCATGGATCATGGACGTGCGAGCAATGTCCATGACCAAGCCAATGCGGCGCTCAGCAACCCCATTCTGCTGTGGGGACTCCGGAAGCGTCCAGGACTGTACGATGCCCTGTTCGCCGCAGAATCCGCCAAGAACGCCGGAGCGAAACTCGCCCCCACGGTCGGAGTGTAGACAACTGACACGACGACCACGAGTGCCCTCAGTGGCCAGAAGCCACCGGATCAGCGTAGCAGTCACCTCGGATTTCTTCGCGAGAGGAAACACTGTGGTGTACCTGGAGAAGTCGTCGACGACCACCAGAAAGTAACGCTCCCTCCCAGATCCCTGCGTCGGGGCAGGGCCCCAGACGTCCAAGTGGAGGGTCTCGAAGGGAGCAGTGGCCGGACGAAGGGAGGAGGAGTGAGGAGTGGCGCGTAAGCGACCGGCGACGCAAGGAGTGCAAGGGGGGGCAAGTGAGGTAGGGAGCGACGGAAAGGTGCGTGGGAGACCTGTGACAAGCCCCTGGCTGGTCATGCCGCGGAGGGGGGGGATCGACGGGTGACCAAGACGGTGGTGCCACAAGACGGTCCGGTGGGTGAGGGAGCGATAGGAGCAAGACGCAGCAACCGGACAGGACACCGCGACCGGACTAGACACGACCACCTGGCTAGACACAGCAACTGGACTGGACACCTGGACTGGAGGGGACGCAACGACCTGAGCGGAGGACGCAACCTGGGAGCGCTCGGTGTGGAGAACGTAGAGACCGGAGCGGGGCTCCCTGGTGAACGTGGCCAGAACAGCACCAGTGGCAGCGTCTGTACAGACCGCAGTCCTCCCACCCCCCACAAAGGTAACCGTGATCCCCCTGTCCTGGAGGTAACCAACACCCACCAAGTTCCGAGTGAATGAGGGGATGTGGAGGCCGCGCAGGACACCAGAGGGGACCACAGGACATGGGAGGGTAGTGGAGCTGCGCGCAACGGCTGGTCCTGAGGTAGGATCAGCCAGAGCTACCGAAACAGGAGTGAGGAGTGGCGTGAGAGTCATGTGGTCGCGGAAGAAGCACTGAGACGCACCAGAGTCCACCGTGAAGGACAGGGACGCCTCAGCCGGAGGGTCACCTGTCCTAGTGGCTACACAAGCACCTAGAGCAGCAACACAAGCACCTAGACTAAAAAGGCACAAGTCTACACTAGCAGGAGGCAAGCAAGCTAATCTACGAACACGCGAGCACACAGATCCATCAGCACTATAGTCAACATCAGCATACAAAGCATGCTAACAAGCATCGTCCATAGACAGATCAAACACATCAATCTTACGGGATAACAGGCGAGCCCAGCGAGGCGTGGTCGCCACAGGGCCCCAACGAGCACGGTAGAGGTCGTCGAGGCGGCGGAAGCACCGCGCGGCAGAGTGGTCGTCACGACCGCAGAGACAGGGGCTGCCCGGTCCGGTGAGGCACCAGTGGGTGCAGGGGCCAGTGTCATGGCGAGGGGGGCGAGGGGCCCAGCTGGAAGTACTGCTGCTGCGGCCGGTGCTCTCAGGTCCTCCCGGACCCCACTGCGGCGGGGGACCCCAGTGCTGCTGCGGACCCCACTGCAGCGGGGGCCCCCACTGCTGGAACTGCTGCGGTGCCTGCTGCTGCTGCGGTCCCTGCTGCTGCTGCTGTCCCTGCTGTGGCTGGTGCTGCTGCGACTGCTGCTGCTGGGGTCCAACACCCCAACCGGTCGGGCCACCGCCAGGGGGTGGGCCTGTCTGTCCTGCACCTCCTCCAAGGCCCCCTCCTCCTGGTGCACCTCCGCCGCCGCCACCGCCGCCGCCGCCTCCACCACCGCCGCTCCCACCTCCACCGCCACCTCCACCGCCGCCTCCACCGCCTCCACCTCCCCCCTTCCCGCCCTTCTTGCCACTCTTGCCCCGTTTCTGCCAGTCTGCGGCAGAAACGGCAGCAGTGTCCCCAGAAACCGACACAGCAGCAGAAGCGCGGGTAGCAGTGAAAGTGGGAAGCTGAGGGGCGGCACACCCCGCAAAGAGACGGGGGGGCACCGCGTCAGTGGCGGAGGCAACGGTGAGGAGGCTACTCTCGATTGTCCCGAGAGCGGTCTCAAGGAGATCGATAGTGAGCTCAGTGGGGTGCTTCTGGAGAAGCGCGTCGCGAGCAGTGGCAAGGCGGTCAGGGAGGCGGGTGACTAACCAGTGCACTGTGAGCCACATGGGGGGGGGAGCAGTAAGAAGCTGGGCGTCGGTACAGGCCGCTCGGAAACCGGCGTCAAGTGAGCGGAGGTGAGTCACTAGGTCGGACACAGTCGCAAACGAGCCGAGGTCGGGAAACACAAACGGCATGAGGAGGCGACTGAGGGAGGCAGAGGAAGGGGTGGAATAGCGTGCAACAACAGCAGCCCAAACCCCCTGAGTTGTCTCCACCTGGTCAAAGTGGGCGGCCTCAGTCGGGGGGAGGAGCTCCGTCAGCGCAAGAGCGGCGGCAGCGTCGCGAGAGTCCCACACGTCCCTCGCCAAGACACGACGGTCGTAGTCCGCCTGCGCCGCAGGAGTCGGCTCTGGGTCGGTCGGGAGGGGGTCGGGAGACAGGGGCGCCTTGAGAGCACCAGACGCGTGGGCCCACAGGGTGGCGCCGTCCTGGCGCTGACTGGTGAGGTAGCGCGTGGCCTGGCGCTGCCAGGTACTGAACTCGATCGGTCGCCCCTCCGCATCGAAACGAAGGCGGCGGGAGGAGTCCATATTGGACGCTAGGCTAGGAACGGCGGAGGTGAACCTAGGAGTCGTAGGAGCGCCAGTGGAGGAGGAAGCCGGGCTAGAGGCTAGAGGCTAGGAGCTAAGTGCGACCCGGGTCGAAATCTAGTGACCGGAGCGAGAAGCGGCTGCCAGCCGCGGAATGAGAAGCCAGTAGCAGTACGAACGGTGTTAGCCCGGGGGACAGGGCGGTGGCTAGGTGAGAAGGGGCGGTTGGGACGTTAGGAGGAGGCGGCGCGTGGGTGAGGGCGCGGCCGTTGGCGAGGGCGTTGGTAGGGCGCTGGCTTAGGTGGGGGCGAGGGCAAAGGCGAGGGCGCGGGCCTAGGCGAGGGCGCGAGCTGGGGCGACGGGCTAGGGCGCGGGCCTGGGCGACGGGCTAGGGCGCGGGCCTGGGCGACGGGCTAGGGCGGGCGCCTGGGCGACGGGCTAGGGCGGGCGCCTGGGCGACGGGCTAGGGCGCGGGCCTGGGCGACGGGCTGGGGCGGGCGCCTGGGCGACGGGCTGGGGCGGGCGCCTGGGCGACGGGCTGGGGCGGGCGCCTGGGCGACGGGCTGGGGCGGGCGCCTGGGCGACGGGCTGGAGCGGGCGCCTGGGCGACGGGCTGGGGCGGGCGCCTGGGCGACGGGCTAGGGCGGGCGCCTGGGCGACGGGCTAGGGCGGGCGCCTGGGCGTCGGGCTAGGGCGTGGGCCTGGGCCTGGGCGACGGGCTAGGGGCGCAGGCTAGGGGCGCGGAGGGCGCTAACGCGCGGAGGAGGAGGGCCCTAAGGCGCGGAGATGGCGCGGAGGCCGCGGAGGCTAAGGCGCGGAGGGCGCGGAGGGCGCGGAGGGCGCGGAGGGCGCGGAGGGCGCGGAGGGCGCTAGGGCGCGGAGGGCGCAAGGGCGCGGAGGGCGCTAGGGCGCGAGCAAGGCTAGGCTAGGCGAGAGGATCGACACCTACTCATGATACCATCTCAAAGTTAGCGAACAACGGAAAATGCATGAACTAGCAAAGTGTTGGATACAAATAGGAAACCCTAGCATCTATACCCTCTAGAATGCAACTCACTACAGCCTATAACTATTATATTTGACACTCCCTCAGATCACCACTCCCCACTTCCTCTTCCAGTTTCACTTCGACTCCCGCGTTATCTGGCACGAGAATAAGCTGCCAAGAAGCAACTTACAGTACGATACAAACTGCCTGACTATATTATTTGACATTCCTTACCGCACATCTCAACATCGCGTGCAAGACCGACCACTATCGGTGTTTCGCCGTCTTCGCCCGTCCTGCCGAACCATGCACTGTTGGACTGGCCCGAGTCGGCCTACGTTTAATGACTAGCTTGAACGTCGCTGCCAGCATCGCAATAGCTAGCTCGTATGCATCGCATTACCGTTTTTTGTTCCGCTATGAATGTTACCGGTAGCTCATGCATTCGCTTACATTTTTGTTACTCAGTTTGCCAGCCCAGTGCAATACTCTTTTACTTGATTCATTGCTCCTGTAACACCTTTCCAATATATAAGAGAGAGTAGTGCTCCCCCCCCAAACTCACCCTTTGTACTCAATAGTTCTTGACTCAATAACGAGAGGCCTAATCAACTTCCGTACATGCACACTGTTACACAGGAGCTGGCCTTTCGTTGTCCAATGTCGCAGGGCCGTCTTAGTTCGCACCGCCCGCTTAGCCCCAAGGATGACGCTCTCGTCCGCGTATTCCTCTACGCGCCCCCTAAACTCTCCACGACACCAGTTGCATCCCTGCTGCCCACTTCACAATTTGCGCCGACCTCAAGATGGTGGCAGCGCGCGAAGCAAGGCTTCCCCCCTGTGCGGCGCAACGCAAACCTAACCACACAACCTAGGGAACAGACGCGTCTGTAGCACGTTTTATTCGATCCGAGAATAGCGAGCGCTGCCACGACGAGACGACAGCAAGCGCTGCCACGACGAGACGACCCACCTCACCCGCAATCCTGCCATGGTTGATCCACCCAACCCAACCCAATGCTCCGCCAGCATGTGCTCTTCTTTACCGCTTAAGAGTGAGTTAACTGTCTGTAAAGAGACGGCCGCCACTGTTTCCGAGTCAGAACGGAAACGAGAGTCCCACCGCTCCAAATGCGTATCGATCTGCTCTAGAACGCACAGCACCTCAGTGAACCGCACTAGAGCGGACAATTGCGACGCGGCGGAAACGCGGGATCGGCATGACGCCATGCGGCAGCGGCGAGAGCCATTGACGATCTCATCTCTCGCATCGGCTCGACGCGAAGGAGTTCTCCGCTTGACCCGCTTGACTTGCTTGACCCGCTTGATCCGCTTGACTCGATTTGACCCCGTTTGACTTGCTTACGACCAGCACGTGTCGGGCTTAACCTCGAATCTCCACGTGAAATTGCACATGTCGGGCTGACCTCGGGATCTCCAGAAACAATCCCCTCGGCTATCATGCTGCTCGCCGCCATTCCCGCTTTCTCCCCCTTCCGGGGAGTCCTCCCCTTGTTGCTGCTCGCGCTGCTAATCGCGTCGCCCCCATCCCTTTGCGCGGCGGAGCGAGTCACGCGCCTCGTCCTCCTGCCTAGTAACGCGTACAGCGCGAAATGCCTCGACGGGAGGTGGGTTTATTTGACTGTCGGTTTCCGGAAGGAGACTACTTTTGAGGCGCCTCAAAACTGGACCTTTTACACCCCCTTCCTCTCCCCCTCTTTCCCCCATCCGATCACCCCAGCCCCATTTCTCCCCGTTCCTCCCCCCCTTCCCCCTCCCACCCCTCCCCCCCTTCCTCCCGCGCACCCACTCTCCGCCGTCCAGTCCCCCCGCGTACTACTTCCGCGCGGGGGCGGGCGCGGGGAGGTGCAAGTGGCACGTGCATCTCCCCACGGGCGGCTGGTGCTTCACCCCGCAAGACTGCCTCGATCGCGCCAAATCTAGCCTCGGTTCCTCGCGCTTCTGGGCCAGACGGCTCCCCGCGGTCGTTGGAAACGGCGGAGACATCAACACCGTGAGTGGAGTTCTCCCCCCCCCTTCCCCTCTCCCTCCTTTTCGCACTCCCCGGCTCTTCTTCCCTGGGCCAGACGGCTCCCTGCGGTCGTTAAAAACGGCGGAGACATCAACACCGTGAGTGGCGCACCCCCCCTTCCTGTCTCTCTCCCCCCGGGGCCCTGTGAGACGTGTCGTCTCTCCACCCTCTCCTCTTCTCCCCAGTCATTCGAGTCCTATGCACAGCTAGCGGGGCCCCATTCTCTCCATATGAAATCCGCGAGCATTGAGGTGAGTTTTGAGGCGCCTCAAATCCCGTCTCTCCTCCCTCTCCTCTTCTCCCCAGTCATTCGAGTGACGGGGCTCCATCCATTCTCAGGACAGCGCAGCCAACCCCGTGCTCCACTCCCACTCACTCTCTCGTGCCCTCTCTTACTCCCACTCTCCCCCTCCTGTCCCCTCTTCCCCACCGTCCCTCCCTCCCCCACCACCAGGCATCCGAGGAATATCAACAGCAGGGCGGGCTGCTATCCCAGGATAGCGCAGCCAACCCCTTCTTCTCCCAGCAAATCGCATCCAATCCCTCTTACTCCCACTCCCCCCCCCCCTCGCCAGGCATCGGAGGAATACCCACAGGTGGGCGGGCTGTTATCCCAGAACAGCGCATCCAACCCCTCTTACTCCCACTCCATCCCTCCCAATCCCTCTCTCCCCACATCAGGCATCCTTGGAATTCCCACAGCTGGGCGGGCTGCTATCGCAGGACAGGACAATCAACCCCGTGTTCCACGCGTGGAACCTGGTGTGGGTGGTGTACTGTGACGGTGGCGCCTACAGCAGCACGCGGGGGAGGGCGGACCTGGGGGGGGGCGCATCTGTGTACATGCAGGAGCAGGCGATATTGCACACAATAATTTATGGTTCGCTGGGGGAGGGCGGCTAGGGAGGGAAAAGGGTGTATTTGGGGGGGAGAAGAGGGGGAGGGGGGGGGGGATGGCTAAGGAGGGAATGGGGGGGATGACTCAGCGGCTCTGCTGCCGCCCTCCTGCTCACTAGTTCTTCCTCACCCCCCTTATTCCATATTAGCTCCTCCCTTCTCTCCCTCCCCCCCACGCCAGACCTGCGCACGAGGAGGGGCATGGGGGCGGCGTCTCAAGATGCTCTTGCTCAGGCAGCCATGCTGGTGCCCATGCCATCATCATGCACTGCGACCGCTTCCCACCTCTCTCCCCCTTATGACCGCCTCCCACCCATCTCCACCCTCTTATCACACCATCATTTCTTCAGACCTGCGCACGAGGAGGGGAATGGGGGCGGCGTCTCAAGTGCTCGTCTCGGGCAGCAGCTATGCTGGTGCCCATGCCATTATCATGCACTGCGACCGCTTCCCACCCTCCACCCCCCTATGACCCCATCAATCCTTCAGGTCTCCGCACGAGGAGGGGCATGGGGGCGGCGTCGCATGTTCTCTTCTCGGGCAGCTCAGCGGGCGGCCATGCCATCATCATGCACTGCGACCGCCTCGCTGCCGCCTTCCCCCGCGCCAAAGCCACCTGCCTCTCCGACTCGGGCTTCTTTGTCGGTCAGTGCAGCGCTGTGTTCTGTTGAGACTTGAATTGTGCCCTGGGCCCTACAACAAGCATCCCCTAAGGCCCTTAGGTATTTGAATTGTGACTTGCAAGAAGCCTCTGGGATGCTTTGGGCTGCCAGCGTGACACTGCCTGCCCTTATGAGAATTCTCAAAAGTGGCTCCACAGCACAGCCTTTCGCTTGTGGCAAAGTTGCTCCTTCCCCTGCTCTCTCTTGTCTTGCACCCCTGCTCTAGGTCCGATTCTCGACGCGCCTTCAAATACAATCCGTGTGAAGTGCGACGCATTTTGAGGCGCCTATAAAATCCCCCTTTTGCTTGTGGTAAGAGTGCTCCTGCTCCTGCTCTGTCTTGCACTCCTGCTCTAGATCCGTCCACAGCCTCATGATTTTCACAGCCTTCCTGATCCACCCACTCCTGTAATCCCTCTTTTACTCCCCCTTCCCCCACTGCTGCCGCCTGCCAGATTTGAGGCGCCTCAAAACTGATCCACCCACTCCTGTGATCGCTCTTTTACTCCCCCTTCCCCCTGCTGCTGCCTGCCAGATGCTAAGGACCGCTTTGGACAGAACTTCTGGAGGGGAAGGATTCAGGCGCTCACCGCTCTGCACCGCATCAACGTCCCGAAATGCCCAGCAGCAGGTGAAAGCTATGCACCAGGCGACTCCCAGGTGGAAATGGGACTACCAGGTGATTCTCAGGTGAAAACAGGGCGAGCACGTATATTCCAGGTGTAAACGGGAATTGTCAGGTATTTATCAGGTGAAGACCCGAGTATCAGGTAATTTTCATACTGAGTATAGAGTGATGAATTTTGAGTCGACTCATGATTACTGTTACTTGACTTATTGTGACTTTCGAGTCAACCCAAAGTTAATGTTGCTCCCCTTCTCCCCCACTCCCCCCTCCCCCCCCCCTCCTCCCGCCCCCCTCAGGATCACAAGTGAAGGACAACTGGGTCTGCTTCCTCCCGGAAAACTCCCTCCCTCAGATCACCACTCCCCTCTTCCTCTTCCAGTTTCACTTCGACCCGCGCGTCATCTTCCACGAGAATCAGCTGCCAAGACTGCCAAGAAACAGTGATCAGTACGTTACAAACTGCCTCACCATGCAGATCCTGCTTCCAAATGCCAGTGCCGTGGCTCGCAAGCATGAGTGGGTCGGTCTCAAATGGAACCAGTCGTATTGCCTGCCTCAGGAAGTCGAGGCGGTGTTTTCGATGGCATCTTTGCTGTATGGGTATTTGGCGGAAGCAACGCGGGGAAAGAGGGATTTGGGGGTGGTGCTGGCGCCTGGAATGGGGCACACGGTAGTGTATCACTCAAACTGGTTCAGGGCTTACGGTACATTGGAGGAGCTCCGAAACTGAACTGGATATTCAATAGATGGTTTATTACCCGAAACAAAGGGTTTTTCCTGCATGAGTAGGATTTTTATATTGCGGGATGCGAAAAATGCGCATATTTTCCAGTCCTTGTGTCAAAAACCACCAATGCCCATATGCAAATTGAAGTACTAGCCTTGTTATGAACTTCATAACAATATTTTAATATCATTATATTCTGTACCATGCCAAGGAAAGTGTACCATACTCGCTTTGCAGGTAACAATATCTGAAGTCTGATCGAGGCCTTTTCCACAGTGTCAGCTGCTTTTAGTCACTATGCGCCAGTAGCATTTTTTTCTCGCACCGCCCTCACCTGCAAATGCTTCCACGTGTTGTGTTGACGCTCGGGCAGGTTGATTGCAACCCGACGACAACTACCGTACATGTCGGTCGGGCATATGCGAGCCGCGGTTGGGCATATCCCATCCCATCCCAATCCATCCCATCCCATCCAATCTCATATCATCCCATTTTACCCTATCACATCCCATAACGTTTGGTCACATCCCCTTCACAGCAAACCTAATCGTCTAGCTCGCTCCGCCATGACTGCAAACTAAACAGTTATCTTCCGCCTGTCGCATCTGTCAGTAGCATTCTAAACAGTTATTTCGAATCGAGAGGCCAAGCCCAGCCCTTGGTAAATCGAGCGCCTCCATTTCGATTTCGACGACGCACCGCACCGCACCGCACCGCACTGAAAGTCTTTACTTGTTTGACTCAATGCTCCACCACCACGATTTGTCGCGGAGCCGCCAAGACTTAGGCAAATTGGCAGTCAGCAAAAAAGGCGGCGGGGAGCAGGGACTGTTTCCATCGCGAAACGGGGAACGGGAGCCCCTCGTGTCGAGTTGGTATTGGCATGGCAAACAACTCCAGTCGAGAGAGCGCTTGGTGCTCGAGTTGCTTGGTAGTACCCATGCCCCGCAACTCTGTCGTCACTGGACACGGCGCGGTTCGGAGTTCATGCTACCACTCTGGCTATCTTCCGGTTTCGAGAGTCTCTAGCTCCTGCGTTCTAGGGCTTGACGAGCGGTTTGGACTTGGTAATGCGTCTCGGAGTTAGAACTTGCTTCAAGTAATCCGCCAATGTCAGTCATCGCGCTCGCGCTGCTTGCCTCCTCCCGCCCCACATGCTCCCGATTCCCCCCCTTGCCCGCGCTCCTCCTCCCCCTGCTGGCGCTGCTCCTCGCGGCGCTGCCCCGCTCCCTGTGCGCGGCGGGACGAGTGAACCGACTTAAATCCGCTACCGCGACGCGCCTCGTGCTCCTGCGCAATAACGCGTACGGCGCGAAATGCCTCGACGGCAGGTGCGGGCGCGGGTGCTTCACTATGCTTCACTATCACGACAGCATCGCCGCGACTCGCGGAAATGCCTTCTCGTGGCATCAACCCATTCGCACATAGAGTCAACTTGAATGTCAATAAAGGTCATTCGCGCCCTTCATTCAACCCATGATGCATGAAAGTTCTTCCCCCACGATTCCTGAAGCACACCTCTCAAGGTCAATCCCAGTGTGCCTCCTCCACCTTCCCCCCTTGCCCATATCCTTTACCCCGCCCCCCGTCTCCCCCCCAAAGCCCCCCCGCGTACTACTTCCGCGCGGGCGCGGGCGCGGGGAGGCGCAAGTGGCACGTGAATTTCCCCCGGGGCGGATGGTGCTTCTCCCCGGCGGAGTGCCTCGAGCGCGCCAATTCCTCCTTCGGCTCCTCGCGCTTCTGGGCCACACGTCTCCCCGCCATCATAGAAAACGGCGGAATGATCAACAGCGTGAGTGACAGCTGAATCCTCTAGAGCGACGCGAGCATAGTCCCCCTCTCTCTCCGCTTCGCACTCCCCCGCTCCCCTTCCCTGGTTGACTGTCGAGATCGCGCCAACTCCCCCCTCGGCTCCTCGCGCTTCTGGGCCAAACGAATTTCCGCAGTCGTTGAAAACGGTGGAGCAGTGAGGAATGTGAGCTTCCTCACTTCCTCACTTGCCCCCATGCCGTATCTCATGCGCCCTCTCGCATGCCTTCTTTCTCATTTCATACCTTCTTTCTCATGTCATACCTTCTTTCTCATGTCATACCTTCTTTCTCATGTCATGCCTTCTTTCTCATGTCATACCTTCTTTCTCATGTCATGCCTTCTTTCTCATGTCATACCTTCTTTCTCATGTCATGCCTTCTTTCTCATTCATGCCTTCTTTCTCATGTCATGCCTTCTTTCTCATGTCATACCTTCTTTCTCATGTCATGCCTTCTTTCTCATTCATGCCTTCTTTCTCATGTCATGCCTTCTTTCTCATGTCATACCTTCTTTCTCATGTCATGCCTTCTTTCTCATGTCATACCTTCTTTCTCATGTCATGCCTTCTTTCTCATGTCATGCCTTCTTTTTCTCATTCATGCCTTCTTTCTCATGTCATGCCTTCTTTCTCATGTCATGCCTTCTTTCTCATTCATGCCTTCTTTCTCATGTCATGCCTTCTTTCTCATGTCATGCCTTCTTTCTCATTCATTCCTTCTTTCTCATGTCATGCCTTCTTTCTCATTCATGCCTTCTTTCTCATATCATGCCTTCTTTCTCATTTATGTCTTCTTTCTCATGTCATGCCTTCTTTCTCATTCATGCCTTCTTTCTCATGTCATGCCTTCTTTCTCATTTATGCCTTCTTTCTCATTCATACCTTCTTTCTCATGTCATGCCTTCTTTCTCATGTCATGCCTTCTTTCTCATTTATGCCTTCTTTCTCATTCATACCTTCTTTCTCATGTCATGCCTTCTTTCTCATGTCGTGCCTTCTTTCTCATGTCATGCCTTCTTTCTCATGTCATGCCTTCTTTCTCATTCATGCCTTCTTTCTCATGTCATGCCTTCTTTCTCATTCATTCCTTCTTTCTCATGTCATGCCTTCTTTCTCATTCATGCCTTCTTTCTCATGCCATGCCTTCTTTCTCATGTCATGCCTTCTTTCTCATGTCATACCTTCTTTCTCACGTCATGCCTTCTTTCTCATGTCATGCCTTCTTTCTCATGTCATGCCTTCTGTTTCCTCGCTGCTGCTCTTTGCCCCTTCCCTTCCCTCCACACCGCAACCCACCGTTCCCTGCCTCAACAGGCAATGTCTGAGACGCCTGGAGAAGACGTTTCATTACACCCCACCCAACCACACCCCACCCCACCCCACCACCCCCCACTCCACCCAACCGTACCCTACCCTTTCACCAGGCTAAGGTCGCCTACCCTCAACTGGGGGTCCTGCTATCGCGGAGCAAGCTATTTAACCCGGTGTTCCACGCGTGGAACCTGGTGTGGGTGGTGTACTGTGACGGTGGCGCCTACAGCAGCACGCGGGGGAGGGCGGACCTGGGGGGGGGCATCTGTGTACATGCAGGGGCAGGCAATATTGGCCGCAATATTTCATGGTTCGCTGTGGAAGGGTGGCTGGGAGGGAAAAGGATGTACTAGAGGGGAAAGTAAATGGCTGAGAGAATGGCTAAGGAGGGAATAGGGGAGTCATTGGACTCGGGGGCGGACATATCTGCGTATGGGGGAGTTAGGGAGTGAAGAGGGAGAAATTTGAAGTTGATTATAAATGCTCCTTCTCCTTTCTCTCTCTTTCACCAACCCATTCCAGACCTGGGCACGCGGGGCATGGGGGCGGCCTCCCGCATTCTCGTCTATTAGAACTCGATTCTAAATACTCACTCTCCGTTCTCTCTCTTTCACCCCCCCCATGCCAGATCTGCGCAGGCGGCGGGGCATGGGGGCGGCGTCGCATGTCCTCTTCTCGGGCAGCTCAGCGGGCGGCCATGCCATCATCATGCACTGCGACCGCCTCGCTGCCGCCTTCCCCCGCGCCCAAGCCACCTGCCTCGTTGACTCGGGATTCTTTGTTGGTCAGTGCAGCGCTGCGCTGTAACTGGTTGCCCTATATTGTCTGATTTGTGACTGGGAAGACGGAGCCTCGATAGTGGTTCGAGGTCTTCACGGTTCTCCCTCTTGCATTGCACATCCCCCCTGCTACCGCCTGCCAGATGCTAAGGACCGCTTTAATCGGCACTATTGGCGAGATAAGATTCGGGCGCTCACCGCTCTGCATCGCATCAAAGTCCCGAACTGTCCAGCAGGTGAAAGCTATGCACGAGGCAATTCCCCAGGTGCAACTGGGACTATCCTGTGGTTCTCAGGCGAAAACAGCACTACCATGTATGTCTCTGGTGTAGACGAAAATCATCAGGTTGACTTTTGAGTTGACTCAGGGTGACTTCAGAACGACTCATCATCGGTCTTGACTCAACTCAGAAGTCGTCCAACCTCCCCCCTCTCTTCTTCCCCCCACCTTTCAGGAGTGAGGGACAACTGGGTCTGCTTCTTCCCCGAAAACACCCTCCCTCAGGTCACCACGCCCCTCTTCCTCCTCCAGTTTCACTTCGACAGTGGCTTAGTTCACCTGGAAAATCAGTTGCCAACCAATTTCCAGTACGCCTCAAACTGTTTGAGCAAGCAGATTCTCCTGCCAAACGCCAGTGCTGTGGCACGCAAGCATGCGTGGGGAGGACTCCACCCGCCCAACCCGGCTTTCTGTTTGCCTCAGGAGGTCGACGCGGTATTCTCGATGGCGGCTGTGACGTATAGGTCTTTGGCGGAAGCGGCGCGGAGAAAGAGGAATTTGGGGGTGATGCTGGCGCCGGGAACGGGGCATACTGTGATGGTCTATTTGAGCTGGTTCAGGGCTTACATTGGATCGCCAAAACTGAACAGGATATTCAATAGATGGTTCCTCGCCAGAGATAAGGGGTTGTTCCTGCATAAATAGGATTTGCAATTGTTCTTACTCGAATTACTCAACGCTGGTCAACACGATAAGCCCTAGGTTCGGCACCCTGTTGGGGGAAAGGTTTGAAACAACAGCGAAGGCAATGGTTCACGAAACAAATATGCGAAACACCACGGGTTCGCAACACAATGTCAAAACATATTGTTCTGCTTATTTCACTCTAGGTTGTGTAGGGTTCTTTCCTTAGAGGGTACAACAATCTCTCTCGATAGTCCTTGTACCCCCCCCCCCTTACCTAATCGAACTCACTCATCTAGCTAGTAACTCTAACATGGTATTAAGAGCACAATGCTCCTTAGGACCGAAATTTTAAAAGGGCCCACCACTACTATTTCGACCTGCTGCCCGAGTCGCGCCCCTAGGAGAAACGCGAAATGCGAAAACGTGCCCTAGGCGAGACGGTTCCCTTTTCTGCCTAGACGCGATTTTCTGTTCCTAGTCACGTGCGACCCCCCTGACCGAGCCCTAGCTGCCCCGTGCGCCTCTCGCGCGGCCCGTCAGCCCCTACGCCCGGTCCCCCTCGTTCCTGCTGCTGCGCGCGCCACTCACGCTGCCCGCCAGCCCCTAGCACGCACCTGATGCGCGCTCCTCGTAGTGCCGCCCCGCACGCACCTGTTGCGCGCCCCTGGTTGGCACGCCCACAGCCCACGCGCGCCTACTGCTACTACGCGCTGCCCAGCCCGAGCTGTCACTGCTGCTGCTACTGACGCTACTGCTGCTACAGCTAGTGCTACTCACTGCTGCTGCTACTGAAGCTAGTGCTGCTACAGCTAGTGCTACTCACTGCTGCTGCTACTGAAGCTAGTGCTGCTACAGCTAGTGCTACTCACTGCTGCTGCTACTTGTGCTACTGGGAGTGGAGGAGGTGCTGCTGGGAGTGTAGGAGGTGCTGCTGGCGCTGTAGGAGCTGGAGGTGCTGGACCTACTCCTGACAGTCACTGTCTGTCATGGCCACTTCCGCGGCAGTCGCTGAGGCCAGGGGTGGACAGCAGCGGGCACTGCTTCTCCCGGACGACCCCACCCCTCAGCAGCTTCGTGAGTGGGTTATTCAGCGAGGTCGTCCTGGTGGTGGAGGTTATCGTTATGTTAAGACTGCTGCTCTTGGTGTTAGTGAGTCTGCTGCCACTCCAGGTGTTAGTCAGACTGCTGCCACTCCAGGTGTTAGTGAGTCTGCTGCCACTCCAGGTGCTAGTGAGTCTGCTGCAGCTCTAGGTGCCCGTGAGTCTACCGACGCTCTAGTTGCTAGTGCGTCTACTACCACAGGTCCTGCCTCAGCTGAGGTCTTGCACACGTTCACACTTGACTCCGGCGCGTCACGTTGCTTCTTCCGTGATTGCACCACAGTCACACCACTCACAGCACCTGTCCCAGTCTCACTGGCTGACCCCTCTGGGGGCCCAGTGGTTGCGAGAGCCTCCACGGTCCTCCCTTGTCCAGCAGTCCCCTCCGGCTCTTTGTCAGGTCTCCACCTCCCCACGTTCTCGACGAACTTGGTGAGCAACGCTGCCATTCAGGATGTCTGGGTTGATACCTTTATTCCTGGAGGGCAGCGTGTGGCGATCTGTACGTGCTCCCGGACTGGCCGTCACCTGGCTACGTTCACTCGACAGCCTGGGTCTAGTCTGTACACACTGACCACTGCGTCTACACAGGTGGCTGAGTCAGGTCAGGTAGCTACGTCGAGTCGAGCGTCTGCGTCAGGGCAGTTAGCTGCGTCTTGCTCGTGCCGAGTACTCACGCACGAGACTCAGCGCTGGCACCACCGTCTTGGTCACCCCTCCCTGCAGCGTCTGCGCCGCATGCACTCCCGGCTCCTGGTCACTGGCCTCCCTGAGACCCTGCCCCCCCTCCTGCGCTCACTTGCGCCGCCGTGCCTTCCTTGCGTCGAGGGGCGGCAGCGCGCCGCTCCTCACTCCTCCAAGTTTCCTCCGACCACTGCTCCTCTGCAGACTCTCCACATG